AGAATCACTTAAATTCTCTCAGATTCTCACAGGATTCCTCATATTCTATCAGATTCCTTCAGACTCCCTCAAATTCTTTCCAAATTTCTCATATTCTCTCAGATTCCGTCAGTTCGCCCAGATTCTTTCCGAATCTCTCAGATTCTCTAGGGTTTTGTCAGATTCTCTTAAATTCTCTGAGATTATCTCAGATTCTTTAAGATTGTCTTAAATTCTCTCAGGTTCCCTCACATTTTCTCAGATTCTTTCACATTCTTCCAGATTATCTCAGATTCCTTTAGATACCCTCAGATTACTTTTTAAATTCCCAGTTTCTCCAAGATTCTCTCAAATTCTCTCAAATTCGCACAGGTTCTCTCAAATTCTCTCAGATTCCTTCAGATTCTTTCTAAATCTCTCAAATTCTCTCAGATTCCTTCAGTTCCCTGAAATTCTGTTGGATTATCTCATATTCATTGAAATTATCGTAAATTCTCTCAGATTCCCGTAGAGTTCTCTCACACTTACTCAGATTCTTTCAGATTCTCTCAGATTCCTTAAGATTTTTTCCGAATCTCTTAGATTTTTCCGAATCTCCCAGTTTTTCTCAGATTCTCTTGAATTCTCTCAGATGCCCTTTTCTCGGATTACCTCAGAATCACTTAAACTCTTTCAGATTCTCACAGGTTTCCTCATATTCTATCAGATTCCTTCAGACTCCCTCAGATTCTTTCCAAATTTCTCGTATTCTCTCAGATTCCTTCAGTTCGCCCAGATTCTTTCCGAATCTCTCAGATTCTCTAGGGTTTTGTCAGATTCTCTTAAATTCTCTGAGATTATTTCAGATTCTTTAAGATTGTCTTAAATTCTCTCAGGTTCCCTCACATTTTCTCAGATTCTTTCATATTCTTCCAGATTATCTCAGATTCCTTTAGATACCCTCAGATTACGTTTTAAATTCCCAGTTTATCCAAGATTCTCTCAAATTCTCTGAAATTCGCACAGGTTCTCTCAGATTCCCTCAGATTCTTTCCAAATCTCTTAGATTCTCTCCGATTCCTTCAGTTCCCTGAAATTCTGTTGGATTATCTCATATTCATTGAAATTATCGTAAATTCCCGTAGGTTCTGTCACACTTTCTCAGATTCTTTCAGATCCTTTCAGATTGTCTCAGATTCCTTCAGATTACCTCAGATTATTTCTGAAACTAATAATAATAATAATAATAATAATAGTAATAAGTTTATTAGTGCATAAGAACTACAACGGTTTTTGCATAAGTCAAGATACAAAATTAAAATTAAATACATTTAAATAGAAAAGTACAGCACATCATTTAGAAACTCTTCAAAGGTGTAGAAAGCCTTTGAGAGCAAATACTGTTTCAAAGTAATTTTGAATTTACGCATGGACAGAGTTTGCACGTCATGGGACAACTTGTTAAAAAACTTTATGCCATAATATTCGGTACCATTTTGAGACTTGTGAAGTCTCAGTTTTCTCAAGCGTAGTTTAGACTTGTACCGAGTATCATGGTTGTGGACATCACGATGACACAAGTAGTCACTTAAATTTTTTTTTATAAAAATAAGGCAATGAAATATATATCGTGAGGTTAGAGTAAGAATTTTAAGTTTTATAAATTTGTCTTTGCAATCTTCTCTGTACCCAAGTCCCGCAATAATCCTAACTGCCTTACGTTGGAGATTAAAAAATCTATGCCGTATTGGAGAATGACCCCAAACTATTAGCCCGTAAGTAAAATGACTCTGACAGAGAGCAAAGTAGGCATTTTTTAAGAAATCGGTAGGCACTTTGGTGCTGAGGTTTCTCAGTAGAAATATATTTTTACAAATAGTTTTGGCGGTCATTTCCTCATGCCAGTTCCATTGAAGATGGTTATCAATATAGAGCCCTAGAAATTTAGCAGTTGTGTCAAAATCATCGTGGAAATCATGTTCTTTCAATGAGAATAACATTTCAACCGTTTTGGCTTTATTTAGAAGCAATCTATTAGCTGCAAACCAAGCTTCTGCTCTTGACTGTGTCTCTTTATGTCTGTGAATTACGTTATTGACGTTAGTACCAGTGCTCACTATAGTCGTATCATCGGCAAATAATATACTATTCTCCTGTAAATATAAGGGAAAGTCATTTATAAAGATTAAAAACAGGAGTGGCCCAAGAACAGATCCTTGGGGCACTCCAATTTTTATAGGAAGGAGTCCGGAAATTGAATCACCTTCTTTAACTAACTGGTGGCGTCCGGAGAGGAAAGAAGAAAGTAGCTAGGCTACAGCTATGGGGACTGATATTTTATTTTATTTTTCAACAAGATGTCGTGGGAGACACAGTCAAAAGCTTTGGTCAGATCAAGAAGGCTGATGACTCCAAATTCATGTTTCTCAAAGCATTGCAATATTGTGTTTGTTAGAGATAGTGCAGCGTCAGTAGTGCTTCGTCCTTTGCGAAAACCAAACTGGGAGTCAGCAAACAGTTGATTATTTTCAAAAAAATTTCCTAACTGTGTGTATAAAGTTTCTCCAGTATTTTGGAAAATACTGGCAGGATGGAGATGGGCCTGTAGTTGTTCGGATCATTAACATTCCCTTTTTTGTGAATAGGAATAACAAAGGCAACTTTTAGACAGCCAGGAAAGACGGAAGCTTTGATACATAGATTGACAAGTTTAGTGAGCGGAGAGATGATGAGATCTCTAATAGTCTTAATAAGATTAACGTTTAGATTATCTACATCTTTGCAGTTCGAATTCTTTAAATCGTTTATTACGTCTCTGACCTGCACCATTGATGCTTCAGTGAATTCAAAAGCATTATTAGAGCACAAAGACATAAATTTGGAATTATCGGACATTAATTGTATAGGGTTTTTACAGTCTGTAGGGAGATCATTAATTAAGCATGGTGCAATATTCGTAAAGTAATCATTGAAATTATCACTAGATATATCACAGGCTTGCTTGCTATCACGATTGTTGGAGCCAAGATTATTGCGAGATTCGTTTATTACTGTCCACATAGCTTTACATTTGTTTTTAGCAGTATTAATGAATTTTTTGTTATAGTTAATTCGAGTTAACTTTATTTTCTCGCGATAAACTTTGCGGTAGCTTCTTGCAGATTTTCTCAAATTCTCTAGATGCCAACTACCTTAATTTTCTCAAGACGGGGTTACTGGCCAGCTTGGAGGTGAAGGAGATGATCCTGAACGGGAATCCGTGGAAGTGTCCCTGTCTGGACGAGATTCACCAGTGGTTGTTCCAGAACAATGGCACAGTGACAACGCCGGATTTTTGCAAAGGGCGCGATATTCCGGTGTGTTGCTCGCCGTCTACGTATTCGCATACGTGCAGAGAGACGATCGATGACGAGCTTACGGGGTATTATCTCGGGAAATTGAAGTTGATGAGTCCGCCGGTGAACGAGCATTGTGCGAAGCTGGACAGGGTGATGTGGCAGGGGAGATAAGGGGTTTTGTGTGGGGTTAATTTTTAGCAATAAATACATTGGTTTATTTTTTAATAATATAAAGTATGACAACAAGTTTTCTTAAATTAGTCAGTCATTTACTTAGTCCAATCTTGCGCAATACTTCTCCAAAGGAGGGTTAATTTTCCGCAGCGCCTCCACGTAAATCTTGACCACGTCCTCCTCCACTACCTCCCGACAAGTTCTGGAGAAGGAATCAGGGAAGACGCATACGGGTACATCATCTCCCAGACACTTGTTCGACTTGGTTACAGTGGCATTCGTGTCATGCAACCAAAAGAGGATTTGGTCCAAGCATGAGCACTTCCATGGGTTTCCGTCAATACCCATCTCCCTGACGGTCACAAGTACCATGATCTTCTTTGGTATGAAAGTTAGATAATTGGCGTTGAGTGATAGTACCCTTATGTCAATATCATTGGGGAAGACTCTTGAATGAATGTGTTTTAGTCGGTTGTACCGTAATCCTAGGTGATCCAAGTTCGTCACCTCCTTAAAAGCCTCAGACTCTATCACCTCCAATTCGTTGTAATCAAAGTAGATCTCTCTTAGTTGGGAAAAATCACGGAACGACCGCCTCGGTAAAATTTTGATTTTGTTGTAACTAAAATCCATGAGTACTAGATTCGTGGAATTGGTGAACCACCCCCTTTTCCAGTCCCGTAGGTTGTTGTGGTCGCAGTGAAGCCTCTCCAACGTCTCCACGTTCGCAAACCCTTCATTATCCACATGTCTGAGCTTATTGCGACTTAAAACCAAACTTTCTAATTTAGGTACTATCGAAAACACTCCCTTCGGTACTATTTCCAAATCGCTCCGTATTATTTTGATGGTTTTGAGGTTAGGTACGTTGCGAAACGCACTGGGTTCAAGTACTCCAGTTCCACTATTCTCGAACACGGCACTATGCAGATGCTTCATGTTTCTTATCGAGTCGCGCCCTAACCTCGGTACCACCTGATTTCTAATATGCACTTGAGTTATCGTGGTGTTGAACGCAATCCGTTCTATGCATCCAGTCACATTAAGGTAGTACGATTTGGTACTTTCAGCCGGGTACACTTTCACTTTAACGTTATCAAACGAGTCACACTTCGATGAAATGACTGCCGCGAAAGAGATTGTAATAAGTGTCAAGGTTAAAACGTACTTCATGTTTATTCTGCAGCGGATCGAGCGCAACTGTGGCGTCTGGTTGGTGACTGGGTCGACACTGAGGTCAAGATACGCGGAAATCCCGATTGTTTAGTTCGAGGAATGTCTTCTGTAATTACCGGGTTTTTGAGTTGTTTATTTAATAAAAAATGCAGCCTGAAATGAGTAAAAATCCCGAAGCTTGCCGGGGTGTGGGAATTTGTCGTCCCAGTGTCCTAAAAAGCCAGCTAATACCCCTTAGAGCCACATTCGGCTCATTTCTGTCAACAGGTCCTCCCCCTCCCAAATCCCGGAAAGCCGGGCGCCATGCCAGCACTTAGTCCTTCCATCATCGCTGATTTAACTCTTTTGTTCCAGGTCTCAAAACCATCATCAACGCTTTGCTCCATTCCTTCAAACAGCTCGCTGAAGTCATGACGTTAACCATTTTCTGTTTGATGGTGTTCGCATTATTCGCCCTGCAGGTCTACAAGGGGGAACTCCGCAACAAGTGCGTCCTCAAAATGGAGGACCACAACGCCAGCTACGAAACTTGGTTCAAGTACGTTGAAAAATTATTGTCGTTGTGCATGATGGATTCTTTCGCCCGAATGGGGGAAGGGAACACCTGTTTCGCAGCGTTCCTTTCATGCGGAGACTTTGATTCATTGGAAACCGAATTGCCTCATTTATCCAATGAAAACGCCTGTGTTTGTGGATAAAAGCGGGTGAATGATGATGTGGCCGCCATGTCGTGTTGACAAATGGCGTGTCACTTTGCGTAGGATCGCGTTTAGAAATATTTACGTGTAATTGAGTCCATGATGTAAGTTATGATTTCATGAACATTTGATTTAGCGTTGCCGAAAAGAGGGGTAAGAAGTTGTGTGTTTGTGTCTTCGAACTAATTCTTGTGGTCCCGGAATGCGGGCGCATTCGCTAAGGCTCTGGTTGTAGGAGGTCACAGATTAATATTTCAGAACCTTGCCGAATGAGCTTATTGTAAGTAAAACACGCTGACGACGCACAGGTGCACGAGGCGGAGCGGTACGTGGTAGAAGATCATATATACATTTTCTTGACAGTTCCGGACCCCTAGGGTACGAAAAAATAGGTCTCCTGTTGCAGTTTAAAATTATCAACCCAGAAGAAACAATTAATGAAAAAATATCAAGATTCAAAATTTAGTGTCCACTGAAAAACAATTATTAGCATAAATCGAGTGGTTAGGAAATTACTACCAAAATTTGTTGCAGCAGAAAACGCAATTTATTAATTAAAAGAACAAATTAACAGTGTAAATTTAGACAGTTTAAAAATGAATGACAAACTGTGGAAATGGCGCCTCGAGATTGTAGAAAAAGCGCTGTCGATTGAGGTTCTTCAGACTATGAATTTTTATTAAAATTAAATCATTTGTTGCTATCTTTGCGTCGGAAAATAGAGCATTTCAAATTCTACTCACGTATATATTACACGAATTTTTTTTCTTCAAAATTTCATTTTTAATCCAGCTGATGAATAACAAAGATATTCTTCTCACATTTACAAAAATGTTAGCTGCTTTGGTAATTAAAAAAATTATGATAATAACGGACGAATAATTCGTTACTAAATATGCATTACCAAGCAATGAGGTTAACATTACATACACTGAGGATTTTGTGAAATTTCAAGAAAATTTCTAGTTAAAAATGGTGCCAAAATTAAGTAGTGATCTTTACAATCAAATCTTTTACTATTGCTTGGTTTATCAAAATTTTAACTAAATGGTCTACCAGATCTTATCAGATTATTCAGATTCTCTTAGTTTCTCAGAGGTTCCTTCAGATTTTCTCAGATTCTTGCAAATTCTTTCAAATTCCTACAGATTCTTTCCGAATATCTCAGATTTTTTCACAATTTCCCAGTCTTTTTCAGATTTTCTAAAATTCTTTCCGAATCTTTCAAGTTCTCTCAGATTCACTCACATTTTCTTGGATTCTCCCAAATTCCCTTCGATTTTCCCAAAACTTCTCAGATTCTTTCAAATTTTCTCAGTTTCTGAAAGATTCCTTCAGATTTTCTCAGATTCCTGGAAATTCCTCCAGATTCTCTTGGGTTCTATCAAATTCCCTTAGATTATCTCCAATTCTCAAAGGTTCCCTCAGATTTCCCCACATTATTTCCAAATATATCAGATTTTTTCCAAGATTAGATCATTTCAGATTATTTCAGATTCTCTCAGATTCCTTAAGATTCCCTCAGATTGTTTCCGAATTTCTACTCTAAAATTATCTCACAGCCACTTGAACTCTCCCAGATTCTCCCAGTTTCTTAAAAGTTCCCCCAGATTCTCCTAGATTCCTTCACCTCCCTTCAGATTCTTTCCGAATCTAAGATTTCTCTCCGGATTTACCAGTTTCTCTCAAATCCACTCAGAATCTTTCAGAATCCCTCAGATTCCTTCAAATTCCCTCAGATTCCTTCAAATTCCCTCAGATTCTTTCCGAATCTCTCAAATTTTTGTCGAAATTCTCGAGATTTTTCCCAATTCTTGCAAATTCTCTCAGATTCCGTCAGACCCTCCCCGATTCTTTCAGATTCTCTCAGATTCCCTCATATTCTTCGCCAATCTCTCATATTCTCTCAAATCCTCTCAGATTCCTTCAGATTTTTTCAGATTCTTTAAGATTCCCTAAGATTCTTTCCGAATCTCTCAAGTTCTCTCAGATTCTCTCACATTTTCTTAGATTCTCTCAGATTCCCTTAGATTCTCTCAGATCCTCTCAGATTCTCCCAGTTGCTCAGAGGTTCCCTCAGATTGTCCCAGATTTCTACAGATTCCCCCACATTCTTTCCAAATATATCAGATTTTTTTCCAAGATTAGATCATTTCAGATTATTTCAGATTCTCTCAGATTCCTTAAGATTCCCGCAGATTCTTTCCGAATTTCTTCTCTTAAATTATCTCACAGCCACTTGAACTCTCCCAAATTCTCCCAGTTTCTTAGAAGTTCCCCCAGATTCTCCTAGATTCCTTCACCTCCCTTCAGATTCTTTCCGAATCTAAGATTTCTCTCCGGATTTCCCAGTTTCTCTCAAATCCACTCAGAATCTTTCAGATTCCCTCAGATTCCTTCAAATTCCCTCAGATTTCTCCAAATTCCCTCAGATTCTTTCCGAATCTCTCAAATTTTGATCGAAATTCTCGAGATTTTTCCCAATTCTTGCAAATTCTCTCAGATTCCGTCAGATCCTCCCCGATTCTTTCAGATTCTCTCAGATTCCCTCAGATTCTTCCCCAATCTCTCAGATTCTCTCAGATCCTCTCAGATTCCTTCAGATTTTTTTAGATTCTTTAAGATTCCCCCAAATTCTTTCCGAATCTGTCAAGTTCTCTCAGATTCCTTTAGATTCTCTCAGATCCTCTCAGATTCTCCCAGATTCTCCCAGTTGCTCAGAGGTTCCCTCAGATTGTCCCAGATTTCTTCACATCCTTTCAGTTTCTTCTCGAATCTCTCAGATTTCTTTCGATTTTCTCAGATCCTCAAATGTTCTTTCAGACTCCTCCAGATTCTTTCTGAACATCTCAGATTTTTTCCCAATATCTCTCAGATTCCTTCATATTCCCACAGATTCTTTCAGATCATTTCAGATTCTCTCAGATTCCTTAAACTTCTTTCAGATTCTTTTCGAATCTCTCAAGTTCTCTCAGATTCTCTCACATTTTCTTAGATTCTCTCAGATTCCCTTAGATTCTCTGAGATCCTCTCAGATTCTCCCAGATTCTCCCAGATGCTCAGAGGTTCCCTCAGATTGCCCCAGATTTCTACAGATTCCTCCACATTCTTTCCAAATATATCAAATTTTTTTCCAAGATTAGATCATTTCAGAGTATTTCAGATTCTCTCAGATTCCTTAAGATTCCCTCAGATTCTTTTCGAATTTCTTCTCTCAAATTATCTCACAGTCACTTAAACTCTCCCAGATTCTCCTAGTTTCTTAGAAGTTCCCCCAGATTCTCCTAGATTCCTTCACCTCCCTTCAGATTCTTTCGGAATCTAAGATTTCTCTCCAGATTTCCCAGTTTCTCTCAAATCCACTTAGAATCTTTCAGATTCTCTCAGATTCCTTCAAATTCCCTGAGATTCCTTCAAATTCCCTCAGATTCTTTCCGAATCTCTCAAATTTTGGTCGAAATTCTCGAGATTTTTCCCAATTCTTGCAAATTCTCTCAGATTCCGTCAGATCCTACCCGATTCTTTCAGATTCTCTCAGATTCCCTCAGATTCTTCCCCAATCTCTCAGATTCTCTCAGATCCTCTCAGATTCCTTCAGATTTTATCAGATTCTTTAAGATTCCCTCAGATTCTTGCCGAATCTCCCAAGTTCTCTCAGACTCTCTCACATTTTTTTAGATTCTCTGAGATCCTCTCAGATTCTCCCAGATTCTCACAGTTGCTCAGAAGTTTCCTCAGATTGTCCCAGATTTCTTCACATTCTTTCAGTTTCTTCCCGAATCTCTCAGATTTCTACAGATTCCTTCAGATTCTTTCTGAATCTCTCAGATTTTTTCCTAATCTCCCAATTTCTCTCACATTTTCTCCGATTCTCTTGGATTTTTTCATTTTCCCATAGATTCTGTTAGATTCTCCCAGATTCTCTAAAATTCTTGCAGGTTCTATTAGATTTTCTCATATTTTTTCAAATCCTTCCAGATTCTCCCAAATTCCCTTTGATTTCCTCAGATTCTCTCAAATCCACTCAGATTCTTCCAGATTTTCTTAGTTTCTCAGACGTCTCTTTAGATTTTCTCAGATTCCTTCAAATCCTTTCAAATTCCTACAGATTCTTTCAGATCCTCAAATGTTCTCTCAGACTCCTCCAGATTCTTTCTGAACATCTCAGATTTTTTCCCAATTTCCCAATCTCTCTCAGATTCCCTCATATTCCCGCAGATTCTATCAGATCATTTCAGATTCTCTCAGATTCCTTAAACTTCTTTCAGATTCTTTCCGAATCTCTCAAGTTGTCTTAGATTCTCTCACATTCTGTTGGATTCTCCCAGATTTCCTTTGATTTTCTCAGATTCTCTCAGATCGTCTCAAATCCTTCCAGATTTTCTCAGTTTCTCAGAGACTTCTCCAAATTCCCTCAGATTTCTTCAAATTCTTTCAAATTCCTGCAGATCCTTCCAGAATCTCTCCGATTCTCTTGGATTCTATCCGATTCCCTCAGATTATTTCAAAATCTCAAAGGTACCCTGAAATTCCTCCACATTCTTTTTTTACATTCTCTCAGATTCTTCCGAATCTCTCAGATTTTTTTCTGAATCTCCCAGTTTCTCTTAGATTCCCTCAAATCCGCTCAGACTGTATCAGATTCTCTCAGATTCTCTGAAATTCCTTCAGATTCTTTTAGCGAAACTCTCCTAAATTCATACAGATCCCTTCAGATTCTTTCCGAATCTCACAGATTTTTTCCTAATCTTGCAGTTTCTCCCACATTTTTTTCAGATTCCGTTGGATTCTTTCATATTCCATTAGATTCTCTTAGATTCTCTCAGATTCTCTAAGATTTTCAGAAGTTCCCTCAGATTTTCTGAGATTCTTTCAAATTCTTTCGAATTCCCTCAGATTCTCTAACATTCTTTCTTAGATTTTGTCAGATTCCCTTATATTCTCTAAAATTCTCTTAGATTCTCTTGGGTTCTCTCAGATTCCTTCAGATTCTCTCAGATTATTTCCACATCTCCTAGCTTCTCCCAGATTCTCTCAAATTCTCTCAGATTCCATCAGATCCCCTCAGATTCTTTCAAATTTCCTCAGATCCCCTCAAATTTTTCAAATCCTTTTCAGATTCTCTCAAATTTCTTCAGATTTTTTTCAGATTATTTCCGAATCTTTCAAATTCTCACAGATTCCTTAAGATTTTTTCCGAATCTCTGAGATTTTTGGGAATTTTCCCAGAGAATCACTTAAATTCTCTCAGATTCTTACAGGTTTCCTCATATTCTATTAGATTCCTTTAGACTCCCTCAGATGTTTTCCAAATTTCGCATATTTTCTCAGATTCCTTCAGTTCGCTCTCAGATTCTCTAGGATTTTGTCAGATTCTCTTAAATTCTCTGAGATTATCTCAGATTCTTTTGGATGCTCTCATATTCTTTTAGATTGTCTTCAGTTCTCTCAGGTTCCCTCACATTTTCTCAGATTCTTTCACATTCTTCCAGATTATCTCAGATTCCTTTAGATTCCCTCAAATTATTTTTTAAACTCCCAGTTTATCCCAGTTTCTGCCAGATTCTCTCAAATTCTCTCAATTTCGCACAGGTTAGCTCAGATTCTCTCAGATTCCCTCAGATTCTTTCCAAATTTCTCAGATTCTCTCAGATTCCTTCAGTTCCCTGAGATTCTGTTGGATTATCTCATATTCATTGAAATTATCGTAAATTCCCTCAGATTCCCGTAGGTTCTCTCAGACTTTCTCAGATTCTTTCAAATCCTTGCAGATTTTCTCAAATTCTCTTTGATTCTCTCAGATTTGCACAGGTTACCTCAGATTAGCTCAGATTTCTTCAAATTCTTTCAGATTCTCTCAGATAACGTCAGATTTCATCAAATTCTTTCCGAATCGCCCGACTTCTAAATTTTCTCTCAAATTCTCTTAGATTCCTTCAGATTCCTTCAGATTCTTTCAGATTCCTTCAGATTCTTTCAGATTCTCTCAGATTCGTTCAGATTCTTTCCGAATCTCTCAAATAAAATAAAAAGAAAAATTTTAAAAAAACGGGGTGAATGTAGAGAAAGTTGGAGTTTAGGATGCTTTATTTGTTGATCACCATTATAAATATAATTAAATCAGTTTTATATGTGTTCAAATATACTTTTATTTTTAATCAACATATGTTTTATTAATTTAATGTTTAATGAGTGGTTATATCATTTTGTACACTGATTTTTTCGATAGCTCAAAATTTCCCTTTGTGAGTGAAGGCAAGTTATAATACAAATACCATATAGTATTTCTAACTTTCTAGAGACTTTCTCATGAATGTATAACATGATTTTTGTAGCGATTTACCACTAAATGTTTAACTGAAACCTGGAAGTTAATGGATAATTTTGTTTTTCAATAATACCTACTGGTTCTGGGCTTAAAGCAGAACTGGGGTACATCTTTTACCATTCATTCGTAGCTGCAAGCTATTTTAGTGACGAAGAGAACTAAAATCTATAGCTATACTATTCTCAAGGGTAGCAAAGGACTACCATATACAGGGTCGCTAGAATGTATGGAAACGGTTAAAAATCTTGAGAACCAATTGTACAAATCAACTGAAAATAGGTAGGGGGCTACAAGAAATTGAACTCTAATTATTATTCGTCAAAAAAATTTTTTTTTTTTCATTTGTTTTCGAGATGCAATTTTTTTAAATGGCACTAGCATATAATTAATGCATTTTTGAGACGAGGTTTTTCCTTAATTCGTTGATACAATCATACTTTCTTTCTGACTGAAATAGCAAAACTCGTACTACTGGTTCTCAAGATTTCTGTATACAATACGTCAAGACCCTCTACCTCGCTCCGGCGTCGTCAGCGGCCCTTTATCGCCTCCAATCTGTATCACTTCTCGCCGATCAATTCCCGCTCACCCTCTTTAAACTTCAATTAGGCCGCCCCGCGCGGTTTCACTTATTCCTCCGCTAATGCCGCCCCCGCTTTTTTAGCTGGACAAGCGACCCCAACAACTGGATCGTCCGCAACGAAACCGGCGAGCCGCTGCTCTGCGGCAACGTGACGGGCTCGAGACACTGCCCCTCGACGCACACGTGCATCTGCGTTGGCGAGAACCCCAACCACGGATACACGAGCTTCGATAACTTCCTATGGTCGATGCTCACCACCTTTCAGCTCATCACGCTCGACTATTGGGAGAACGTTTACAATATGGTGCTGTCATCGTGTGGTCCAATAAGTGTATCGTTTTTTACAGTGGTAGTTTTTTTCGGTTCGTTTTACCTTATTAACCTAATGTTGGCTGTGGTAGCGCTAAGTTACGAAGAGGAAGCGGAAATTACGCAAGAGGTGAGTGCTGCGGTCGTTAATATCAAAACTGGCGGCGTAGGCGGGAAGTGGCGAAACGTATGAGGGGCTCGTGTTGTGCTTAGCCGAGCAGAAGACGCCGCTGGGCTTGTATCATCTTAATCCGAGGGGGAGGTCAACAATAGGGAACAACCGCGCCGGAACATCGTTCTATGTACTAGCAGTCACTACATCATCTCCAAGTTAGAGAGTTCCCAGTAAACACAGTTACGTCGTAGCGATGTTAATGCCACTTAACTCTGTCTACGATCTTGTTAGCTGTTACATCCCAAACTGCGTACATTTGCTTTCCCTGTGCTATGTAATGTAATCAACAGTGATCCATGCTTGTAACATACTGGTGACATCCACATTGTTTCAGACTAGAGACGTGCTCGCTGGTACATCATCATAACGTTGTGTTAGTATGTCGCTAGATTCTCTATATTTTGATGTATCTGTTACGTTTTATTTTAAACGCCAATATAACGTATTAAATGGACATAGACGTTACGTATATATCGCAACATCGTAAACATATAACTCTCAGTATATTTTATTAACATGATCTATGCGATATGAATAGGCATTTCAAAAAGTCTAGTTACCATTTAGGGATATGGATATGGAGAGTAAAATTTAGAGCTTACAGTAAATTATTATTTTATTCAATGTTTGAAAAAATATAATATGTAATAAGTAATAAAATACAAAAATTAATATAAATTCATAATATAAATAAATAAATATATATATGATTTCCTAATTCGAAAATAATACAATATAATTTACACTTAAAAAAAGACACAAAAACTATAAACTGTCGTTGTTTTTTCTTTGTTCAGGCGTTGACTAGAATGCCGTATCCACTCTGAGCAGCGTTGTTCTACTTCTTTTTCTATTGCGGAATGGGTCTTCATTGTAATTTCTTCAAAAATAAAAATTGTAATAATTATATTATTATATTTGTCCCAGCCATTTTGGAATTTTCCTACCGAACAAACAAGCTACAGCAAATTTGCTGAATTTTTTTTTTTAATACACGCCCCACATTGTTCTTTTTCCTATTACCACCTATCTGGGACAATAGCAGTTCCTGAAATAACAAAAGAACAAAATATTTTTATGTGTATATATCGAGTGACTCTGAAATAAGTTCGGAAAATAAAACCACAACATCACGAAGTAGAGAAAATTTTAAGTAGGTAATTTCTTTTATCTAGTCCTAATTCAGGGAAAAAAATATTAAGATCTACACCTCGTTCAGTGCCATTTGTTTTCATCTAAGCAACACACGGCAAAAACAAAGAAAAAATTTAGTCACAATGGAAACTGAATAAATCATTGCCGCATCATTTACATTTAACAAGATGTTCCGTATTTGTTTCTTGAAACTGGAGCACCAATTTAATTACTTTGAATCCGTGTGACAATTAAAGGATTTTTTTTCCGAATCTATTTGGAAGTCACCGCGTATGTATAACATACAGGGTGCTTCACTTAAGACTTTTCTGCAACCCACTATGTATGTAACGTGTTAAGCGAAATGTGTCATGTTTAGTAGGTTCCTAAAAAGTGTTATAGTATTACAGGCATCTACCTGTATATAATATCCAAAATTATGTTATATGTAAGTACATATAAATTTATTGTATTTTTTTAACTTACAAAAAAACCTGCTTGTTGTGGTAGGCAGCGATAATCTTCTAATTCCTCAAAATTTGTTTACCTGTGGTCTTGGCGGTATATCTTCTATTACTGTTTTCTTTTTGATTTGTCACATTTGATGACGTTTTCATATTGGAGATTTGTTCACTCGTTTCCTCTAGAATGGCTTTTGTTTCGCACATATTTTTTGTATTTGTTTCAAGTCTAGAGTATAATTATGTTCATTAGCACCTAGTTCATAAAAAAATTGCAGTAACATACCTTTGTAACATGTTATGGCAAAGCGCCTCACTTTTAAAAACAATCACCGTAAGTTCTTCAAAATCAGCGAGAGTATATTCAGTAATTAATCGCGGTATTTCCAGCTTATCTGAAAAAACTGTTGTTATTATTTACGTACAGTAATCAAAAACAACAGAAGCATTTAAAAATTAAAATGATTACTTCATTAGAATTATATTAACTTACCTAGTGTAAATACAACCCACACTGAATGGCACAATTTTCACAAAACTGCATTAAAAGTGAAGGGTGTTACGGATTCACGAGAAAGGTTCGGTGGTTGTGAACCAAATGGCCAAATGGAATTCGACAGCTTCACTGTGAGTGTGAAGTGCAATAACCATAAATACGGAAAAAAGGGATCGTCCGACTCATAGACAAACCAAACCAACAAAGGTCCGACTGCACCCCCCAAACATCTGGTGGATAGTAAATACAGAAGTTGAGCGTTATTTTTTCATTAGATGAAATAAATTTAATAAAATCAAAATTAACCACTCTCTAATTTTTTTGCTACCCATCATCGCTTTATAAACGTCTTTATAAAATCAAAATTCGACGAATGAACTCTTCAAAACCTTGTCCCGTTTCAGGGACAATGGGCCAAGAATTTTTATGGCTTTGTTTGTGTCGTTGGGTCTTCCCTATATTACCCCAGATCTTTAAGGTGACCAGACGTTCCGATTTGATCGGAACTGTACCGATTTCAATACTCTAATTCCGATTTCAAATTTCGTCCAATAAATGTTCCGATTAAAACATTCGTTCCGTGAATGTTCCGATTTCTATAAATCTGATAAGAATAAAGATAAATAGTGGGATAAATCACTAATTTTCATGAATAGTAATTTTATTTTGTCAAAAATTGGGAACAAACCTTGTATCGATACGGTTGTCAGCACTGTTTTAAATGTCAGCAGGTGTCAGAACTGTTAGTATATTACAACTAAAAATTTTCAAAGCAGTTATATATCAGATTACGATGGAAATGGAAACTAATGTTCCGATTTCGGACTTTTGAAATCTGGTCACCTTACAGATGTCCTATTTATAATTTGCCAAGCAGGTACTTACAAAATAACATTTCAAGTGAACAAGTTTACAGAAATAATTCTTAAAAATTATTACAATGAAAAAAACTTGTCTTTAGTGTATTTCTAATAAAGCCGTTGTATTTTTCGCTCTGAATATAATTATTAATTAAGCATTACGAACTCACTGACGAAGGTCACTTTTTAAAGAATACGACGACCCACATCGAATTGACCATATAATCTTTAACAATAAATTTCAAATAATACCATAGTGGTTTTTTTAAATTTTGATAAGGTGTTGTAAAACTATTTCTGTTTCTGTCTTTATTCCAGATACTGTATTTACGTAGGCAAAAGATGCCGTACGTGGGATTTTAGGGGCGGAAACGTATACCTGCTTAAATACTGTAAATACAGTGGTGTCGAACGAAGACAAAAACAGAAACGTACCCGATGTATTGGTTATTAAAAGAGCGGATTTTATGAAATTTGCATATCCGTTATTTTTTGCATATAAGTCTTGATATTTAATATGTGAACGAATCATGCTAATTAAAAATGAATACAGCTATAAAAAAATTGCATATTTGCATATATTTGCCTTCTGCTGCATATTTCACGTAACGGGTGCATATTTTGCATTTTGTCAATTTTTGTGCTACTTTGAAAAAAAAAAATGCCATTCGATCGGCATTTTTCTAGAAAGATGAAATTTCATCAATCATATTGCAACTATTGTCCTGAGCTTCAAATAACTGGGAAAGGTTTGGGTTTTATGGTAGTTTGGAGACACCACTGGATGTTAAGCCATCCTTCCAGGTAAATTCGGGTCCTAATTACTTTTGGAAATACCGTTCATTTCAATATTTTTGTTCGATACTTAAGTGTATTAATGGTATGTTTTATAGTGGTCGAAGGGATTATTTAAAGCGATAGAGATGTGTGTCACTATGTAGATAACTCAAATTAATTTATGAATTAAACCTTTTCCTGACGTTATTCTTCAAGAAGGAACTGTGTTTTGTTGTGCCTGCTCTAATCCGATAAGTATTTTTACATCTGTGGACGCAGTACGCAGTTTTTCTATTTACAAATACATACTTTAGAATCACCGGAAAATTTTTGTTAGCATATTTCGAAAAATATTTAAAAATAAATTGTTACCAAAATAGTAATTAAATAGTCGATTACTACTATTTTTTAATTCTGTTTACCTATATTTATTTTTTAGTATAAGAAAATTATCTTAAAATATGTCATTTATTTGTCAGTGAGATCTAATTAAACACTTTGCAATGTGATTTATGTATTTTTTGTAATAAAAGGTAAGGTGTTTTTGCAATTTGTAAATAAATTTAGTTCGCTGCATATATTAAGAAAGTTATTGCATATTTGCATAAATCTGATGCATGTCATATGATCATATTTCCCAAAATTTTGCTGCATATTTTCCGCTCTCTAGTTATTATACATACACTCTATTACCGACATTAAAAAAGTCTACACTATTTCGTCATATCTGCTGCTTTATTATTAGTTTTCAGTTAGCTACATATTGGATATGAAATTAAGTGAATTTTTTGAATAAATAATAATTTAAAGATCAACCACGAAAATACTCAATTATAATTATACATTATACATTACCAGTTTATTTTAGAGCCCAAGATTACATTGGAAAAATCTAAACTTTTGAAAATTTAATGTTAAACAGATATACCTATAACTGAGTGCGAAAGTCAATACACAAAACTCGATGATCAATTATTGTTTCGTATTCAAATTATTATTTATTTTCCTTACGATCAAAGTGAAGAAATTATTTAATTCATTTTTATTTAAGAACGATATCGCTGACCTTGAAATAGATTAGTTTTTTAATTTCGATTTTTTTCTTTGTCTTGCTTTTGTTGCCGATCAACATATTTTGCATTAGAATTAATAACATGATGAAATTATCATTTTATTTTTCGAGCTCATTTCAAAATTCTGTATATGTATAATTGTTCCTTTTTGGCAGTCACGCATAGGCAGAGGTTAAAAAATAATGTCTCATTACTAGTCTTAATTCGTATTACCTGTAAGATGGGACATTTTTTAATTCTGATCATAAACTATGTGCATTAAGTCTCTTGTTCTGTTTTATAAAGCGCAGGTCGTTATGGACGTATAAAAATAAAATTATAAATAAATATAATTACAGGAAATATAATACGAAAAAAAAAATTAAGAGCAACTCACTATTGGCGTCATCTCGCTTGTGCAAGATTTAAGACAGGGAAGAAGTTTCTTTTTTTAAGACTCAGCTGCTTTTGTTTATGACTATACTATTTACTTGCAACACAAACATAAATAATAAATATAAAATAGAGCTATATAAAACTTGATATATATGTTTTTAAATGTTTTTTGCTGTTGCCCTGTCAGAAACGTTAATTTTCGATTTAACATGCCATTTTGTAAAATGAACTGAAAAACACTTTACATAATTAACTAATAAAAATAAAACATTCCGAAGGATGTATATATATATTAATCAGATATCTAGCAACTACAGTTAACATTACTTATTGGTTACATAACCGTAGTACTCCATTGTGATGTTACAAGGCTTACCTGCCAACTATATCGCTGCGACACAATAATGAGATATCTAGTAAATGTAGTCAAAATTACGTGTTGGTTACCTAGCATGAGTACTCCATTGTGATGTTATATAGCTTACGTTCCAGGTGTATCGTTAAGACATAATCATGCGATGTACTTATTGTTCTTTTGTGAGTACGTACCTGTCACGTCAACATCACAACTGTGTTTACTGGGATATACACCGAGGGGTTGACCACCTACCTAGTATATTAGATTTGTTGCTAAGTGTTTGTGAATGATTTTGGCTGCGTTTGTAGTGCATCGTACATTAAAAGAACAAGGCTTATATCTGTGGCGGCACAATAATAGGTTGGTAAGCGAAGAAAGATAAGCCGCTCTGTAGTCTAGTGGTCAGGTCACCCGCCCGGCAAGCGGCAAACGTGTGGTTCGATTCCCACCGAGGCAGCAACATTTTTCTTCGCTTACCTACATATCCATACCACCTTCAAAAAGTGTAATTTACTGCGAATGGTTGTTACAGCAATGTAAATGCGGTGTACGAAAATTTCCTTGGTGGTTAACCCCTCGACAAACATACTAAGACAAAAACCCCTACTACCGTCACAATAACTGATATCCCCTTACGCTCGGTCAAGCACACAACCCCAGTTCGTTATCACCCGCATCCGTGCCGCCCCCACCCACCCTCCCACTAACCCCCCTCTTCCAGGAACGCAAAAAAGAGCTCGTGGATCACCGCGAAGACTCCACGTTCAGCTTCGACCCCTCAGTCTTAAACGTGAAGAAACTGTCGAAGCACAAAATCAAAAAAATCGACGCCCGCAAGGGCGTCCTCCTGTCGTCGTACACCCGCAAGAAAACGCGCCGGAGAAAGCGGAACCGGAGCACCAACAACCCGAACAAGTCACCCAGCTCGGCCGCCGTGGACGCCGCCAACGCCAAGGAGGAGGCCAAGGACTCGGCGAAGACGTCGCCGAAGACGGGCAGCCGGTCGGTGACGCCGAGCCCCAGCCCCAGTCCGCGGCACAGCCGGAGTTCGCCGCGGCCGCAGATGCTGCCGCTGCCGCTGCCGCCGCCGAAGCACGTGCAGCTGGCGGGCGCCACGCTGCACCCCTCCAACATGCTAGGTGAGTGGCGGGTTCGCTCAGGCGGCACTTGTGACGCGAAGTTCGCAGCTCCCGCGAGGCCGGGGCTGAGCAGCCGGCAGGCCAGCAGCAACAGCGGGGAAGGCAACAACCGGGAGTCGTCCCTGGACGACTCGGGGGTGGTGGACGACCACGAGACGGAGGGGGACGCGACGTCGGAGGACGTGGCGTCGCACGTACCGCAGCCGCCGCCTCGGGTATGCTCAGGGACAGGAATTCGGGATGTGAGGGCTGTGCGTTTGGGGCGGTTATGTCTGCGGGGCGAAGTTTATGCCAAACCTTCGAAACCTCTTAACAATCCGTGGTGAAATGAGGGCTGGAAATGAGATTAAAGTGTGTGGGACGGAAAGGTTGCCCTTGAAAATTCTTAGTGGCCCGTGTGGTTTCTGGCCAGTCTGTCTTTTGGCAAGAATTTTGTTAGCGATGTCTTAGTGGCGTTTTTCTTATATTTTGGAAATCCTCGCTGTGGGTTTTCACTAATTCTGGACTGGGTTAGTTCCAGGAAAAAATTAAATTTTAGAAACGTTAAGTCAATAATGTGTAATTTTTCTATGCCAGAAATTCTAATTTGTTCTTGATTAATTTAATATCAAGATTATCGGAAAAGATTGTCCTTAATTTTGTTGTTTATTATTCATTTCACTTCCTTTACAACGCTCCGACGATAAAATATCAGTTTCAAGATTTCCATAAATAATAAAGTAGATCTTTTGAGGTCTCTGCAAACTGTTCCAGATTCGTCCTGTTTTTTCTAAATTTTTCTAGATTCTCCTACATTCTCTCAGATGCGTCCAAATTCTTTAAGATGCTTTCAAATTTTTCATTTTTTTAAGATTTTTCCCGAATCCTGCAGTTTCTCTCAGATTCTCCCAAATTCCATCAGATTTTTTCCGAATTTCTAAAGCTCTCTCAGATTCTCTCACATTCTCTCCCTTTGATTTTCTCAGATTCTCTCAGATCCTCTAAGATTCTCCCAGATTCTCTCAGTTTCTCACAAGTTCCTCAGATTCTCTCAGATTCCTTCACATTATTTTAGATTCCTTCAAATTCTCTCAGAATCTCTCACATTCTCTTGGATTCTATCATATGCCCTTACATTCTCTCAGATTTTCTCCTTCAGATTCCGACAGATTATCTCAGATGCTCTCTGATTTTCCCAGATTCTCCCAATTTCTCAGAGATTCCTTCAGATCCTCCCAAATTCGTGCACATTCCATCAGATTCTTTCCGAATCTCTCAGGTTTTTCTGTGGATCTCACAGTTTCTCTCAGATTTTCTCAAATTTCCGCAAATCCCAACAGAATCTTCCAGATTCTCTCACATTCCTTCAAATTCTCTCAGATTCTTTCCAAATATCAGATTCTTTCCGAGTTTTCTACTTTATCTCAGATTCTCTGAGATTGCTTCAGATTTCTTCAGATTCTTTCAGATTTGTTCAGATTCTTTCAGATTTTCTCAGATCCTCTCGGATTCTCCCAGTTTCTCAGAAATTCCCTCAGATTCGCTCAGATTCCATCACATTCCTTCAGACTCTTTCTGAACCTCACAGATTCCTCCAGAGTCCTTCACATTCTTTCCGAATCTCTCAGTTTCTCTCAGACTTTCTCAGATTCTCTAAGATTCTTGAAGGTTCCTTCAGATTTTCTCAAATTCTTCTAGGTTCTCTCAGTTTCCTTCAGTTTCCCCAGATTCTTCCTAAATTTCTCAGATTCTCTTGGATTTTGTCAGATTCCCTTCAATTCTCTAAGATTATCACAGATTCTAACAGATTCTCGCAGGCTCTCCCAGATATTCTTAGATTCTCCCATATTCTCTTAAGATTATTATGTTAAATTCTCTCAGGTTCTTTCAGATTCTTCCAACTTCTCTCAGATTCCTTCACATTCCTTCATATTCTGTCCGGATTTCTAAGATTTTTCTCCGAATCTCTCAAATTCTCTTTAATTCTATCAGATTCCCTTATATTCTCTCAGAATTTCTCAAATTCTCTCAGATTCCGACAGATTCTTTCAGATCATTTCAGATTCTCTCAGATTCCTTCACATTCCTTCAGATTCTTTCCGAATCTCTCAGATTTTTCTCTGAATCTGGCAGTTTCTCTCAGATTCTCTCAAATTCCCTTAGATTCTTTCGGATTCTTCCAAGTTCCTTCAGATTCTCTCAGATTCTTTCCGAATCTCTCAGATTCTTTCCGAATCTCTCAGATTTTCTCCGAATCTCTCAGATTCTCTCATGTTCCCTTAGATTCTGTTAGGTTATCTCAAATTCTCGCAGATACTATCAAAGTCTAACAGTTTCTCTCATATTCTTCCAGATTCGCACAAATTCCCTCAGATTCTTTCCAAATCTATCTCATTCTCTCATATTATGGTTTAGATTCCTTCAGATTCCCTTATATTCTTTCAGATCATTTCAGATTCTCTCAGATTCCTTAAGATTACGTTAGATTCTCTCAGATCCTCTCTAATTTTCCCAGATTCTCCCAGATTCCTTCACATTCCTTCAGATTCTTTCCGAATCTCTCAGATTTTTCTCCGAATCTTGCAGTTTCTCTCAGATTCCTTCAGTTTCCCCAGATTCTTTCCGAATTTCTCAGATTCTCTTGGATTTTGTCAGATTTTTTTTCTCAGATTCTCCCAAATCCCCTCAGACTCTTTCGAATTCTCCCAAATTCCTTCAGATTCTTTCAGATTCTTTCAAATTCTTTCCAAATCTCTCAGATTTTTCAGAATCTCCCAACTTCTCCCAGATTCTCTCAAATTTTTTCAGATTCTCACAGGTTCCCTCGAATTTTCTCATATTATTTCAGATCCTTCCAGATTATCTCAAATTCCTTCACATTCCTTTAATTTTTTTCCGAATCTCTAAGATTTTTCTCCGAATCTCCCAGTTTCTCTCAGATTCTTAGATTTCCTCAGTTTCTCTCAGATTCCTTCAGATTCTTTCCGAATCTATCTCATGTTCCCTTAGATTCTGTTGGGTTATCTCAATTTCTCCCAGAGTCTAACAGTTTCTCTCATATTCTCCCAGATTCTCACAGATTTCCTCAAATTCCTTCACATTCCCTCAGATTCTTTCCGAATCTCTCTCATTCTCTCATATTATGGTTTAGATTCTTTCAGATTCCCTTATATTCTCAGAATTTCTCAAATTCCCTCAGATTCCGACAGATTCTTTCAGATCATTTCAGATTCTCTCAGATTCCTTAAAATTACGTCAGATTCTCTCAGATCCTCTCTAAGTTTCCCAGATTCTCCCAGATTCCTTCACATTCCTTCAGATTCTTTCCGAATCTCTAAGATTTTTCTCCGTATCTTGCAGTTTCTCTCAGATTCCTTCAGTTTCCCCAGATTCTTTCCGAATTTTTCAGATTCTCTTGGATTTTGTCAAATTTTTTTTCTCAAATTCTCTCAAGTCCCCTCAGACTCTTTCGAATTCTCCCAAATTTCTTCAGATTCTCTCAGATTCTTTCCAAATCTCTCAGATTTTTCAGAATCTCCCAACTTCTTCCAGATTCTCTCAAATTCTTACAGATTCTCACAGGCTCCCTCAGATTTTCTCAGATTCTTTCAGATCGTTCCAGATTACCTCAAATTTCTTCACATTCCTTTAAATTTTTTCCCAATCTCTTAAGATTTTTCTCCGAATCTCCCAGTTTCTCTCAGATTCTCCCAAATTCCCTCAGATTCTTTCGGATTCTTCCAAAGTCCTTCAGATTTTCTCAGATTCTTTCCGAATCTGTCACATCTTCTCCGAATCTCGCACATTTTCTCCGAATCTCTTAGATTCTCCCATATTCTCCCAGATTCTCACATTTTCCCTCAGACTCTCCCAGATTCTTAGATTTCCTCCGTTTCTCTCAGATTTCTTCAGATTCCCTCAGATTCTTTCCGAATCTATCTCATTCTCTCATATTATGGTTTAGATTCCTGCAGATTCTTTCCAAATATCCCAGATTTTTTCAGAATCTCCCAGCTTCTTCCAGATTCTCTCAAATTCTTTCAGATTGTCACAAGTTATTTGATATTTGATATTTAATTGTTCTCTCAGATTTTCTCAGATTCTTTCAGATCCTTCCAGTTTCTCTCAGATTCCTTCAGATTCTTTCCGAATCTCTTAGATTTTTCTCCGAATCTCCCAGTGTCTCTCAGATTCTCTCAAATCTCCTCAGATTCTTTCGGATTCTTCCAGATTCCTTCAGATTCTCTCAGATTCTCCAAGATTCTCCCAGTTTTTCAGAGGTTTCCTCAGATTCTCTAAAATCCCTTCACATTCTTTTACATTCTTTCCGATCCTCTCAGATTTCTACAGATCCCTTCAGATTTTTTCCGAATCTCCCAGTTGATCTCACATTTTCTCAGATTCTCTTGGATTGTTTCATATTCCCTTAAATTCTCTCAGATTTTCGAAGCTTCTTACAAATTCTTCCAGATTTTCGCAGATTCCTTCAAATTCCCTCAGATTCTTTCCAAATCTCTTAGATTCTCTTAGATTCACGCAGATTCCCTCAGATTCTTTCCAAATTTCTCAATTTTTTTTTCCAATCTAACAGATTCTCCCAGTTTCATTCAGATTCTCTTGGATTTTATCAGATTCCCTTAAATTCTCTAAAATTCTCTCAGATTCTCTTGGGTTTTCTCATATTCCCTTAGATTACCTTAAATTCTCTCAAATTCTAGCAGGTTTCCTCAGATTTTTTTCAGACCCTTTCAGATTCTCTCAAATTTTTTCAGATTCTTTCCAAATCTTTCAGATTCCCTAAGATTTTTTCCGAATCTCCCAGTTTTTCTCAGATTCTCTTGGATTCTCTCAGATGCCCTTTCCACAGATTACCTCAGAATCTCTTAGACTCCCTCAGATTCTTTCCAAATATCTCATATTCTCTCAGATTCCTTCAGTTCGCTCAGATTCTCTAGGATTTTGTCAGACTCCCTTAAATTCTCTAAGATTATCTCAGATTTTCTTAAATTCTCTCATATTCTTTTAGATTATCTTAAATTCACTCAGATTCCCGCAGGTTCCCTCACAGTTTCTCAGATTACTTTAGATTACCTCAAATTATTTCTGAAACTCCCAGATTCTTTCAGATTTTCCCAGATTCCTTCAGATTCCCTCAGACTCTTTTCGAATCTCTCAGATCCCCTCAGATTTTCACAGGTTCTTTCAGCTTCTCTTAAATTCCTTCAAATTATTTCCGAATCTCCCAGTTTCCCCCAGATTCTCTCATATTCACTTAGATTATGTTAAATTTTCTCAGATCCTCGCAGATTCTTTTAGATTCTCGCAGTTTTTCTCAGATTCTATCATATTTTCCCATATTCTCGTAGATTCCCTCTGGTTCTCCCATATTCGTCACGGATTCCCTCAGATATTCTCAAATTCCCTCAGATTCTTTCCAAATCTCTCACATTCTCTCAGATTACTTCAGATTCTTTCCGAATTTGTCATATTCTTTGCGAATCTGTCAGATTTTTTCCAAATGTATCAGATTTTTTCAGAATCTCCCAGATTCGCTCAGATTCTCTCAGACTCTCGCTGATTTCCCTTAGATTCTCTTTGATTTTCTTAAATTTTCTTTCCGAATCTCTCAGATTCTCGCTGATTTCCATTAGATTCTCTATGATTTTCTTAAATTTTGTCAGATTCTCCTAGATTTTCTCAGATTCTGAAAGATTCCCAGATTCTCCCAAATTCCTCCAAATACTTTTGAAATCTCTCAGTTTCTCTCAAATCCTCTCAAATTCCCGCAGATTCCATCAGATTCTTCACGAATCTCCCAGATTTTTTCCGAATCTACCAGTTTCTCCCAAATTTTCTTAGATTTTCTCGGATTGTGTCAGGTTTCCTTAGTTTCTCTAAGATTCGCTCAGATTCTCTCAGATTCTCCCAGATTCTCTTGGATTCTATTAGATGCACTTGAATTCTATCATAGATTCTCTCAGACTCTCGCTGATTTCCCTTAGATTCTCTCTGATTTTCTTAAATTTTCTTTCCGAATCTCTCAGATTCTCGCTGATTTCCATTAGATTCTCTATGATTTTCTTAAATTTTGTCAGATTCTCCCAGATTTTCTCAGATTCTGAAAGATTCCCAGAATCTCCCAAATTCCTCCAAATACTTTTGAAATCTCTCAGTTTCTCTCAAATCCTCTCAAATTCCCGCAGATTCCATCAGATTCTTCACGAATCTCCCAGATTTTTTCCGAATCTACCAGTTTCTCCCAAATTCTCTTAGATTTTCTCGGATTGCATCAGGTTCCCTTAGTTTCTCTAAGATTCGCCCAGATTCTCACAGATTCACCCAAATTCTCAGACTCCCTCAGATTCTTGCACATTCTTTCAGATTCCCTCAGATAATTTGAATCTCGCACATTCTTTCATATTACTTGAGATTCTTCCCGAATCTCTTAGATTTTTCACGAATCTCCCAGCTTCTCCCAGATTCTCTTGGATTCTATTAGATGCACTTGAATTCTATCATAGATTCTCTCAGATTCTCCTAAATTCTCCAATATTTTCACGGATTCCTTCAGATTCCTTCAGATTGTTTCCGAATCTTTTACATGCTCTCAGATTACTTCAGATTCTTTCCGAATCTGTCAGATTCTTTCCAAAGGTATCAGATTTTATCAGAATTTCCCAGATTCTATCAAATTCTCTCAGACTCTCGCTGATTTCCCTTAGATTCTCTCTGATTTTCTTAAATTTTCTTTCCGAATCTCTCAGATTCTCGCTGATTTCCATTAGATTCTCTATGATTTTCTTAAATTATGTCAGACTCTCCTAGATTTTCTCAGACTCCCTCAGATTCTTGCACAATCCTTCAGATTCCCTCAAATTCTCTTCGAATCTCTCAGCTTGTCATAGATTATCTCGGATTCTCTTAGATTCACTTGAATTCTATTATAGATTCTCTCAACTTCTCTCAGATTCTCTCAGATTCCTTCATATTCGCTCAGATTCTTTCCGAATCTCTTACATGCTCTCAGATTACTTCATATTCCCTCAGATTCTTTCCGAATCTCTCAGATTCCTTCAAATTCCATCAGATTCACTCAGATTCGCTTGGATACTCTCAGATGCGCACAGGTTCCGTCAGATTCTCCTAAATTCTTTCAGTTCCCTCAAACTCTTTCCGAATCTCTTAGATTTTTTACGAATCGCCCAATTTCTCCCAGATTCTCCTAGATTCTCTTAGATTCACTTGAATTCTATCATAGATTCTCACAGATTTTCACAGATTCTCCCAGATTCTTAAAGATTTTCACAGATTCCCTCAGATTCTCTCAGATTCCTTCAGATTCCCTCAGATTCTCTCCAAATCTCTTACATGTTCTCAGATTACTTCAGATTCTTTCTGATTCTCTGAGATTCCTTCAGACTGCACTACCTTTGCACACGCAAATGTAGAAACGTTTGGTACAAAATTGTTTTAGTGATATTTGAATAAATGATCGACGGTCTAATTTTGAATATTCGGCCTTTTATTACTAGTGGAATAGTCCGAAGACTGCCTCCATATTAAAGAGAATCAGTTTTGCGTACACCACAGAAACAAGATTCGAATCTGTCTCTGAATCGTACTGTTTAATTGTGGGAACAACAAATACGCACGTACCAAAATAAGAATAACAATAATTTGTCACATTTATTTTTAAAATATTACAAAAAAAATTTATTAGCCAGAAATGTACTGGATAGAAATAGGATAGGACACCCCGCCCCTGGTTAGTGCAGGTCGAACTTTAGCGAATTAATGAGGGTCCTCGTCGCCGCCTCAAATGCACAGAATTCGAGGCTCATGTCCCGGAGTAGATAATAACAGAGCTGCGCGTTATCGATTAGATAATCTGTTGCAGCAAAGGATAGAGGTGACACCTGTTACGGTAGCGCTGAGCCCGAAGGAGATCAAAGTAATCAAGTGCAATGGCGTCGGTAGCTGTAAGAAGAAGAAGCACATGTACACGCTGCCGCCGGACTACCTATCACACATCGTGGTCATCGGTAATTGGACGTCCCTTTGAGTTATACACGCAATTACTCGCTGCACGATTTATTCGTTCCAGTTTCATTATGCTCCCAGAGACCTAAACAAGTAAATTAATTTAGTGATGTAAAAACGGCATTTTTGCTTCGAAGAACACCCGGAATTCTTACCACATCACTAAGTTTCTCTGCTTGCGACATTTGCTTATTGACCGAACTTAATTACAAATTTACGACATTCGACGGCCATTAAGCGCCCAAATTCGCCCCTTAATTGAAAAACTCGTTTCAGACGACCAGATTCCGGACCGGAATTGTAACGGCTGCGAGCAGTGCTGTGTGGACTACGATGGATGGCTGCAGTTCCAGCAGGCCTTGTACCGGATAGTCCGCGATCCCCTCTTCGAGCTCGCTATAACGGTGTGCATCGTGCTCAACACCATGTTCCTAGCCATGGAGCACCACGGCATGAGCGAGGAAATGCTCAAGGCCCTAGATATAGGCAATAAAGTGCGTACGAAACAACAGGAACACCAAACCTTGACACAAAGAACAATTTTGTGCCAAAGTTTGGTGTTCCCAGCCACCCTTTTTAACACCCATCCCCGCAGGTTTTTACTTCCATTTTTACGTTCGAGTGTTGCCTGAAGCTGATGGCGCTCAGCAAGGAGTTTTTTTACTGCGGCTGGAACATCTTCGACTTGATCATCGTCTCGGCCAGCGTGCTGGACCTCATTTTCGAGCTGGTGGACGGGCTGTCGGTGCTGCGGGGGCTGCGCCTGGTGAGCGAACCGAGCGAGGGGAATAATCGCGTGACGTTGTTTTTGCAGTTGAGGGTCCTGAAACTGGCGCAGTCATGGATCACGATGAAAGTTTTGCTCAGCATTATAATTAGCACGATAGGGGCTTTGGGGAATCTTACTTTCGTTCTCGTTATCGTCATTTATATTTTCGCCGTGATAGGGATGCAACTGTTCTCGAAAGACTACACCCAGGATAAGTTCTACCCCGATCCCGTTCCTAGGTAATTCGGGCTGTTTCATATTTAATCCGACGACAAAATGACAGGGACAAGGGTTTTACGAGGGTGATGGTTTTTACGAGTGATGAAATTGTTCAGTCGGGATAATTAAAAACGGAACGGTCGAACGTACAGGGAGAGACGGATGTTCCTGAATATCTTAGGGCTTCGTCAATTTGTCGTCGCCGGATCATGTAATTCCAGTATTATCTTACGGTGTTTCAGATGGAATTTCACCGACTTTTTTCACTCGTTTATGATGATCTTTCGCATTCTGTGCGGTGAATGGATCGAGCCTTTGTGGGACTGCATGCGAGCCGAGAGTACTGAGGTGAAAATCGCCTTCGCGCCCGTCTCGGTCTAATTATCCCGTTCGTAGGGTCCCGGGACGTGTCTAGCCATCTTCCTTCCGACCCTCGTAATGGGCAACTTTATGGTCCTCAACTTGTTCTTGGCGTTGTTACTCAACAGCTTCAATTCCGAAGAGCTCAAGACGAGAAAAGAGGTACCGAACTCATGCACAGCGCTCGCCTGCATGCCATTTATGTTATTTTATGTTTCTTTCTTCTTCACAGGATTATTATTTTTTCTCGACACACAGTTTATGTAGACCAGAACCGAGTTTATGTTACCCACTTGAGGAACCGGAACGGGTTCGTGTGTGGACGGTTTTTGTTGTCTTAACAATCCTACTTTTGTTTTTCAATATTGTGTGCATGCACTCTCTAACATGGATAATGTCGCACATATTTCTAAACCCTTGTAATATTGTCGTTTGCAAGCGAAATGTAAATATATGTGTTAATGTATTAGGTAAGTAACTTGGATTTACTTCTTACACGTGCTTCGCTTCATTAAAAGTCACCTACCACCACAGTGCCGAGCACACAAGCGCTTAGTACAAACCGCAAGGACACAGGGTACTGCCAAGTACTCTGTGTCTTCGACGATGTACAACCCAGTAAACACAGTTACGTCGTAGCGATGTTAATGCCACTTAACTCTGTCTACGATCTTGTTAGCTGTTACAACTCAAACTGCGTACATTTGCTTTCACTGTGCTATGTAATGTAATCAACAGTGACCCATGCTTGTAACATACTGGTGACATCCACATTGTTTCAGACTAGAGACGTGCTCGCTGGTACATCATCATAACGTTGTGTTAGTATGTCGCTAGATTCTCTATATTTTGATGTATCTGTTACGTTTTATTTTAAACGCCAATATAACGTATTAAATGGACATAGACGTTACGTATATATCGCAACATCGTAAACATATGACTCTCAGTATATTTTATTAACATGATCTATGCGATATGAATAGGCATTTCAAAAAGTCTAGTTACCATTTAGGGAAATGGATATGGAGAGTAAAATTTAGAGCTTACAGTAAATTATTATTTTATTCAATGTTTGAAAAAATATAATATGTAATAAGTAATAAAATACAAAAATTAATATAAATTCATAATATAAATAAATAAATATATATATGATTTCCTAATTCGAAAATAATACAATATAATTTACACTTAAAAAAAGACACAGAAACTATAAACTGTCGTTGTTTTTTCTTTCTTCAGGCGTTGACTAGAATGCCGTAGCCACTCTGAGCAACGTTGTTCTACTTCTTTTTCTATTGCGGAATGGGTCTTCATTGTAATTTCTTCAAAAATAAAAATTGTAATAATTATAACAAACAAGCTACAGCAAATTCGCTGATTTTTTTTTTTAATACACGCCCCACATTGTTCTTTTTCCCATTACCACCTACTGGGACAATAGCAGTTCCTGAAATAACAAAAGAACAAAATATTTGTATGTGTATATATCGAGTGACTCTGAAATAAGTTCGGAAAATAAAACCACAACGAAGTAGAGAAAATTTTAAGTAATTTCTTTTATCTAGTCCTAATTCAGGGCAAAAAATATTAAGATCTACACCTCGTTCAGTGCCATTTGTTTTCATCTAAGCAACACACGGCAAAAACAAAGAAAAAATTTAGTCACAATGGAAACTGAATAAATCATTGCCGCATCATTTACATTTAACAAGATGTTCCGTATTTGTTTCTTGAAACTGGAGCAGCAATTTAATTACTTTGAATCCGTGTGACAATTAAAGGATTTTTTTTCCGAATCTATTTGGAAGTCACCGCGTATGTATAACATACAGGGTGCTTCACTTCAGACTTTTCTGCAACCCACTATGTATGTAACGTGTTAAGCGAAATGTGCCATGTTTAGTAGGTTCCTAAAAAGTGTTATAGTATTACAGGCATCTACCTGTATATAATATCCAAAATTATGTTATATGTAAGTACATATAAATTTATTGTATTTTTTTAACTTACAAAAAAACCTGCTTGTTGTAGTAGGCAGCGATAATCTTCTAATCCCTCAAAATTTGTTTACCTGTGGTCTTGGCGGCATATCTTCTATTACTGTTTTCTTTTTGATTTGTCACATTTGATGACGTTTTCATATTGGAGATTTGTTCACTCGTTTCCTTTAGAATGTCTTTTGTTTCGCACATATTTTTTGTATTTGTTTCAAGTCAAGAGTAAAATTATGTTCATTAACACCTAGTTCATAAAAAAATGCAGTAACATATCTTTGCAACATGTCATGGCAAAGCGCCTCACTTTCAAAAACAATCACCGTAAGTTCTTCAAAATCAGTGGGAGTATCTTCAGTAATTAATGGCGGTATTTCCAGCTTATCTGAAAAAACTGTTGTTGTTATTTACGTACAGTTATCAAAAACAACAGAAGCATGTAAAAATTAAAATGATTACTTCATTAGAATTATATTAACTTACCTAGTGTAAATACAACCCACACTGAATGGCACAATTTTCACAAAACTGCGTTAAAAGTGAAGTGTGTTACGGATTCACGAGAAAGGTTCGGTGGTTGTGAACCAAATGGCCAAATGGAATTCGACAGCTTCACTGTGAGTGTGAAGTGCAATAACCATAAATACGGAAAAAAGGGATCGTCCGACTCATATACAAACCAAACCAACAAAAGTCCGACTGCACCCCCCAAACATCTGGTGGATAGTAAATGCAGAAGTTGAGCGTTATTTTTTCATTAGATGAAATAAATTTAATAAAATCAAAATTAACCACTCTCTAATTTTTTTGCTACCCATCATCGCTTTATAAACGTCTTTATAAAATCAAAATTCGACGAATGAACTCTTCAAAACCTTGTCCCGTTACAGGGACAATGGGCAAAGAATTTTTATGGCTTTGTTTGTGTCGTTGGGTCTTCCCTATATTACCCCAGATCTTTAAGGTGACCAGACGTTCCGATTTGATCGGAACTGTACCGAATTCAATACTCTAATTCCGATTTCAAATTTCGTCCAATAAAGGTTCCGATTAAAACATTCGTTCCGTGAATGTTCCGATTTCTATAAATCTGATAAGAATAAAGATAAATAGTCGGATAAATCACTAATTTTCATGAATAGTAATTTTATTTTGTCAAAAATTGGGAACAAAACTTGTATCGATACGGTTGTCAGCACTGTTTTAAATGTCAGCAGATGTCAGTACTGTTAGTATATTACAACTAAAAATTTTCAAAGCAGTTATATATCAGATTACGATGGAAATGGAAACTAATGTTCCGATTTCGGACTTTTGAAATCTGGTCACCTTACAGATGTTCTATTTATAATTTTGCCAAGCAGGTACTTACAAAATAAAATTTGTAAGTGAACAAGTTTACAGAAATAATTCTTAGAAATTATTACAATGAAAAAAACTTGTCTTTGGTGTATTTCTAATAAAGCCGTTGTATTTTTCCCTCTGAATATAATTATTAATTAAGCATTACGAACTCACTGACGAAGGTCACTTTTTAAAGAATACGACGACCCACATCGAATTGACCATATAATCTTTAACAATAAATTTCAAATAATACCATAGTGGTTTTTTTTAAATTCTGATAAGGTGTTGTAAAACTATTTCTGTTTCTGTCTTCATTCCAGATACTGTATTTACGTGGGCAAAGGATGCCGTACGTGGGATTTTAGGGGCGGAAACGTATACCTGCTTAAATACTGTAAATACAGTGGTCTCGAACGAAGACAACAACAGAAACATACCCGATATATTGGTTATTTTTAGAGAGCGGATTTTATGAAATTTGCATATCCGTTATTTTTTGCATATAAGTCTTGATATTTAATATGTGAACGAATCATGCTAATTAAAAATGAATACAGCTATAAAAAAATTGCATATTTGCATATATTTGCCTTCTGCTGCATATTTCACGTAACGGGTGCATATTTTGCATTTTTGTCAATTTTTGTGCTACTTTGAAAAAAAAATGCATCGGCATTTTTCTATAAAAACGAAATTTCATGAATCATATTGCAACTATTGTCCTGAGCTTCAAATAACTGGGAAAGGTTTGGGTTTTATGGTAGTTTGGAGACACCACTGGATGTTAAGCCATCCTTCCAGGTAAATTCGTGTCCTAATTACTTTTGGAAATACCGTTCATTTCAATATTTTTGTTCGTTACTTAAGTGTATTACTGGTATGTTTTATGGTGGTCGAAGGGACGTTATCCTATTATTTTTCATCGTGAGTTTGCATTTAAGTATTTAAAGCGATAGAGATGTGTGTCAATATGTAGATAACTCAAATTAATTTATGAATTAAACCTTTTCCTGAACTTATTCTTCAAGAAGGAACTGTGTTTTGTTGTGCCTGCTCTAATCCGATAAGTATTTTTACATCTGTGGACGCAGTACGCAGTTTTTCTATTTACAAATACATACTTTAGAATCACCGGAAAAATTTTTGTTAGAATATTTCGAAAAATATTTAAAAATAAATTGTTACCAACATAGTAATTAAATAGTCGATTACTACTATTTTTTAATTCGTTCTGTTTACCTATATTTATTTTTTAGTATAAGAAAATTATCTTAAAAAATGTCATTTATTTGTCAGTGAGATCTAATTAAACACTTTGCAATGTGATTTATGTATTTTTTGTAATAAAAGGTAAGGTGTTTTTGCAATTTGTAAATAGATTTAGTTCGCTTTTTTTTATTTTTGGAGCATATGTAACTGCATATCTCTGCATATATTAAGAAAGCTATTGCATATTTGCATAAATTTGATGCATGTCATATGATCATATTTCCCAAAATTTTGCTGCATATTTTCCGCTCTCTAATCATTATACATACACTCTATTACCGACATTAAAAAAAGTCTACACTATTTCGTCATATCTGCTGCTTTATTATCAGTTTTCAGTTAGCTACATATTGGATATGAAATTAAGTGAATTTTTTGAATAAATAATAATTTAAAGATCAACCACGAACATACTCAATTATAATTATACATTATACATTACCAGTTTATTTTAGAGCCCAAGATTACATTGGAAAAATCTAAACTTTTGAAAATTTTATGTTAAACAGATATACCTATAACTGAGTGCGAAAGTCAATACACAAAACTCGATGATCAATTATTGTTTCGTATTCAAATTATTATTTATTTTCCTTACGATCAAAGTGAAGAAATTATTTAATTCATTTTTATTTAAGAACGATATCGCTGACCTTGAAATAGATTAGTTTTTCAATTTCGATTTTTTTCTTTGTCTTGCTTTTGTTGCCGATCAACATATTTTGCATTAGAATTAATAAAATAATGAAATATATCATTTTATTTTTCGAGGTCATTTCAAAATTCTGTATATGTATAATTGTTCCTTTTTGGCAGTGACGCATAGGCAGAGGTTAAAAAATAATGTCTCATTACTAGTCTTAATTCGTATTACCTGTTAGATGGGACATTTTTTAATTCTGATCATAAACTATGTGCATTAAGTCTCTTGTTCTGTTTTATAAAGCGCAGGTCGTTATGGACGTATAAAAATAAAATTATAAATAAATATAATTACAGGAAATATAATATGAAAAAAAAAATAAGAGCAACTCACTATTGGCGTCATCTGCTTATACAAGATTTAAGACAGGGAAGAAGTTTCTTTTTTTAAGACTCAGCTGCTTTTGTTTATGAATATACTATTTACTTGCAACACAAACATAAATAATAAATATAAATTAGAGCTATATAATACTTGATATGTATGTTTTTAAATGTTTTTTGCTGTTGCCCTGTCAGAAACGTTAATTTTCGATTTAACATGCCATTTTGTAAAATGAACTGAAAAACACTTTACATAATTAACTAATAAAAATAAAACATTCCGAAGCATGTATATATATATTAATCAGATATCTAGCAACTACAGTTAACATTACTTATTGGTTACATAACCGGAGTACTCCATTGTGATGTTATATAGCTTACGTTCCAGGTGTATCGTTAAGACATAATCATGCGATGTACTTATTGTTCTTTTGTGAGTACGTACCTGTCACGTCAACATCACAACTGTGTTTACTGGGAAGTACCTGTAACTTAGGTCACCACCAGACCCCAAAATTTTACCCATTACGTAGGTTAACCACGGAAACATGCATTTTCACTGTATCAAAAGTTAACCCACTCGACACCTACAAGGTTCGGCAAGCACACGGTCAAAAACACCCGATTCAGTTGTGGTTCATAGACAGTACTGTTCAACAAATTAACCTAAGTATAATTAAACTTTAAATGGCAGCACTGATCATGAACCGCCAGGGACCGACAATAGTTTTTCTGAAATTCTGTGCCCGACACCACAAAACGATAGAACTTTTGAGCAATTCAACAGAATGCATGTGTACTTTAACCCCCGCGCTAAATCTAAAGACCGTGCTGTTAAACAGGAAGTCGGCGATGCGTCGAAACTAGCTCAGAGTTTTGAAAGGATCCGCGACCTGGTGCGAAAAAGGCGCCAGCAGCGCATCCAGGAACAAAAACAAAACGAGAACAACTCCCGACTGGAGCAGATAGTCAGAGAGGTGATGCAGAGGCGAGCCGAAGAAGAAGCTTTCAAAACAGGTGAGGCTTCGGTTACTTAAGCCGACGTTTATTAAACGCCATGAATTAGTCATTCGGGAACAAAAGCGGGAATTAGCATTTCTGCGATCAAAGGCGAGGTCCGGGATAATTCAGAAATTTAATGAAGGCCTACTAAAGCGTGCGGATAGTCGGCATTCAATTGTGTAATCTCCGGTCTAGATGTCCCGATTATATCCGAGCGTGTGGCTCTTTTTGGGCGCTCGATTCGCAGATAAGAGCGTGAAAAACCTGCGTTTATGTCGTTGGAGTTAAAATCATCTCCGGCCGTTATAACGAGCTTGAAGGCTCCATTTGCATGATTTCGTTATCCTTTTTACACTCGGTAGAGCCGACTATCGATTTGTATGATAAAGTCTGGAGCGACGGTAATTGCACGATGGACGCTATGATCCGGCAGATTTATGCGCGAATCTCTCCACTAACCTGTTGACAAAATTTATTATCTTGGCTCGAACTCAACGCGCTCTTTCTTCCCTCAGGCGTGACGACGAAAGCTGTACAACAGACAGTGGTCGGGTTTCCGCGCGACAAGCGCAGCTACCAGGAAGCCATGAATCGACCCATCTCCATCATAAGTTACGACCACCCACCGGACTATCAGGTGAGGACTTGTCGTGGCGCGAGCGTCTCAAGCACCGGCTCTCTTCCAGACAATACAAGAAGGGGAAAACGAGGGCAAATACTCTAAGAGGTATTCGACGTTGATTAACGGCAACTCGGAGGAGAGCGACAGCGCTGAGAGAGCGCAACTACTCGAGAACAAAAAGACTGACGTTAGGTTGCTGCAGAACATGTCGTCGGGCCGGGGGACGACGACTGACAGCAAAGGTAGCAGCCGGACGCGCGATTGGCGCAGTCGGTAGGATTCGGTCTCGATTTGTTTCAGACGACAACACCGAAAGCGTGGAGATGAAGAACATCGACAGGGGGACTTCAGCAGACACGGAGCACGACGAAGAGTCCGCCTTGTGTCCTGATTCCAGCAAGAACTGCAACACCAAGAGCGACCACAACGACGAGGACAGCCAGCAACCGTGGCAGACTCTGGTCTCGTACGTGGACGAGCTGACGGTCGGCGGTCGCCGGAACTCCAAGGGACAGTACATCGACGGCATGGGCAGCTTCCCGATGTTCGGTCACAAGAAGCCGCCGAGGACGCCGCCAAACTGTTTTCCCCAGCATTGTTACCAGCAGTAAATGCAGTACCCTGGCGATTTCCCCAACTCATTTCGGCTTTTCAGGTGTGCTTGTTTCAACGCTTGCATTAACACCAGAGTGGGCAAGAAATGGACCATGGTGCGAACTATGGTGTTACGCGTGGTGGATACGCCGAGTTTCGAGTGGTTTATTCTAGTGCTAATTTTCGCGTCTAGTGTGACTCTGTGCTTCGAAGACATTCATTTGGACGAAAATCCCGACTTGAAGTCGGTGCTGTACTGGACGAATCTTGCGTTTTCGGTTATTTTTATCATCGAAATGTTTTTGAAGTGGATCGCGTTGGGGTTTCACAAGTATTTTACCAGCTTCTGGACGCTGCTGGATTTTTTAATCGTTTTTGTAAGTATTGTTGTCTGTCAGTTAGACGTAAAATGTCACACGAAGATACGAGATCGCGACAACCTCAAACCGAATGTTTGGTTTCGAAGCTGCTGAACTTCTGCAAAACGCCGTTGGGTTGTTTGAGAGCATGGCAACTTGTTTTTGGTATCACGTGTATGATTTTGTTACATACAAGACAGGTTTTGCTGATGATTACGCTGAGTGTATTTCTTGGTACTTTAATATGGTTGGTGTTGCACGTTATAGCCATCGAGTTCCTGTTTGGACAAATTATCTTCGATGTAGCTTGTTGTGTTGCGTATTTAACCGTCATGATTCTGTACTTTGTACAATCACCAGGACCAGAAGCACACGACACAGTCACTTGGATTACACCTGCAATCATTGTAATCATAACCGGTATTCTCTATGGGTTTAGTATCAAAGTTTCCTATACAATATTTCGAAACTAGACAATAAGATAGATGTACGTTTATTATGAATAAAGAACGACAGACTCACTGTCAAATTGACATGTTGTACAAAATAGTATGATAAAACCGGCATTAAAACCTTTACAGATACGAGAACAAAGCCAATCAGGACCCCTTCAAATCCAAGAACCACGTCGCAACTGCAGAAAACGATTTATAAACCAACTAGTAAAGCTGATAACACTTCGCGAGATACTCAAATTCCTAGAAATCGTGACAAGTATTTGTGCCATCATTTATTTCCCCAAGAAACATTTTTTAAACATGTTACCCATCATCTCGTTAATTGGTACCCTGCTGTGGCTCGTTCTGCATATCTCGAACAACAATCTGACTCTTCCGGAACTTATTTTTACTTGTACTTGTTTTATACTGTACTGTGTAGCGACTGCCACCGAATTTGTACTCCACCCTTCTCTCAGTAGGTGGGTACGTCTGATTGGAATTTCGGCCAGTACTGTCTACGGGGCAGACGCCGTCTGGTTACTCGTGGACTACAGAAACGAAATACGAAGCAACAGATGATTTTGTACCCTTTTAGAAATAATAAAACCTAAAACAAGACCCCTTTTTGTCTCTTTTACGACGATGATCATAATCGGAATTTCACTCTAACGATGATCTTTCAGGTCTCCCTCTTCAGTCTATTAATCGAAGAAAACGAAAATTTGCGCGTTTTGCGTTCGCTGCGAACCCTTCGTGCCCTTCGACCTTTACGCGCCATTAGTCGATGGCAAGGCATGAGGATCGTAGTGAATGCCTTGATGTACGCAATACCCAGCATCTTCAACGTATTACTAGTGTGTCTAGTCTTTTGGCTGATTTTCTCCATCATGGGTGTACAGTTTTTCCGGGGGAAATTCTACAAATGCCTGGACGAAAACGATGAGCTCGTAACCGTAGATGTAAGAACAACGATTACTTTAGGCCTGAATTAACCCCGACGTTCTAGATTGTAAATACACGCCAAGACTGTTTAGATCGCAACTATACTTGGATCAACTCGAAAATATCCTTCGATCACGTAGGGATAGCGTACCTCGCTTTGTTCCAAGTGGTAAGTGTTGCCCTAACTGAAGAAGTGTTTTGATTTTCGCCTTCAAGGCCACGTTCGAGGGGTGGATGGAAGTGATGGCGGACGCCGTCGACGCTCGAGGGGTGGATCTCCAGCCACAGCGTGAAGCTAACCTCTACGCCTACATCTACTTCGTTATTTTCATAGTGTGCGGTTCTTTTTTTACGTTGAATCTGTTCATTGGAGTCATCATCGACAACTTCAACATGTTGAAGAAGAAGGTATGTCGCCGAATGGTGGACTGACTTGATTTAATCGCTTGTTTTAGTACGAAGGTGGCGTGCTGGAGATGTTCCTCACCGAGAGCCAGAAGCACTATTACACGGCCATGAAGAAACTCGGTCGGAAAAAACCCCAGAAGGTCATCAAGCGACCCATGAACCAGTTTCTGGCCATGTTCTACGACCTGTCGAACTCGCGTAGGTTCGAAATTGCAATATTCGTGTTGATTTTCCTCAACATGTTGTCGATGGGGATCGAGCATTACAATCAGCCCCACGCTGTGTTCTTTATTTTAGAAGTTAGTAACGCGTTCTTCACTACAGTATTCGGTTTAGGTAACGAAACGAAAGTGACTTGGTTCGTCCCGATCTCACGCTAGTGATTTGCAGAGGCCATCGTCAAGATTATAGGTCTAAGGTATCACTACTTCACGGTTCCGTGGAATGTGTTCGATTTTTTACTAGTGCTGGCTTCCATTCTCGGCATCCTGATGGAAGACATCATGATTGACTTCCCCGTGTCGCCGACCCTGCTCCGAGTGGTCAGGGTGTTCAGGATAGGGCGCATCCTGCGCTTGATCAAGGTCAGCGACCTCACCCTCTCCTTCCTCGATTAACAGACAATTGCAGGCCGCCAAGGGCATCCGGAAGCTCCTCTTCGCTCTCGTCGTGTCCCTGCCGGCCCTCTTCAACATCGGCGCCCTCTTGGCCCTCATCACCTTCATCTACGCCATCATCGGAATGTTCCTCTTCGGCCACGTCAAGCAGCAGGGCGCCCTCGACGACATGGTCAACTTCCAAACGTTCGGAAGGTCGATGCATCTGCTCTTCAGACTGATCACCTCGGCGGGATGGAACGACGTGCTGGAATCCCTGATGATCGAGCCCCCGGACTGCAACCCCACGTTCAGGAACCAGTCGAACGGCGACTGCGGCTACCCCCTCCTGTCCATCATCTACTTCACCAGCTTCATCATCATCAACTACATGATCGTCATCAACATGTACATAGCTATTATCCTCGAGAACTTCAACCAGGCCCACCAGGAGGAAGAGATCGGGATCGTCGAGGACGACCTCGAGATGTTCTACATACGGTGGAGCAAGTACGTAGTGGGAATAGTCGGGGGGTGGTTTTACGTTTGCGTTTCCCGCAGATACGATCCTCACGCTACTCAGTTTATCCGGTTTTCGCAACTCTCCGACTTCATCGCTTCTTTAGATCCTCCCTTAGGCATTTCGAAACCCAACACGGTAGCGCTAGTGAGCTTCAATTTGCCCATCGCCAAGGGCAATAAGATACATTGTTTAGATATTCTACACGCGTTAGTTAAGCACGTGCTTGGGCACGTGGAAGAGACTGATAACTTTAGACAGGTGAGTGGAGACGAGCGGGGAGTAGTGAGATGAACGAAAATTATGTGTTCCAGTTGCAAGAGCAAATGGATATCAAATTCAAGAAGCAGTTCCCGACTAGGAAGGAACTGGAGATTGTTTCCTCCACGAGGATATGGAAGCGCCAGGATAAGGCCGCAAGGCTGATTCAGAAGTCGTTCCGGGATTACATCAAGTGAGTGTTTTTACGCATCATAATCGAGTCCGTTGAACGAATGGCTACTTTTATGTTTTACCGCTTTAGTTTTCCGTTTTTTAACACATGTATAGATAGCGAAGCCGACTTCATTCTCGGGCACCATTTTTTTAAGCACTTCAGGGTGAGTGGTTCCGGTGGTGGGTTCAATTGGAGGAAAGACGTGGTAGTGGTGGATTTTGATTGTTTTTGTGTCCGCAGGCGCAAGCGCGAGCGCGAGCGCGTCCAGGAGGAGGTGGACGAGATGACGCAGACGTCGTCGCCGGGCGGTGGCTGGCAGGGCCGCCTGTCCGCTTTCCTTCATGTCCATCGAGGGAGTCGCGCCTCTTCTCGCAAGTCCTCTAGGGCCTCTGACGCGAGCGACCTCAGCGAGCTGGGCGGTCCGTGGTTGAACTTGCCGCTGTTGTTGCTCTCGAGCGCCACCAACATGGACCCAGAGGAGCTGGATTTGAGCCGCGACGCCGCCGATGTCCACATCAAGGTGAGCGAGGCCACGCCGGAGGCGACGACGCCCGCCTCCGACAAGCCGGCGCCGCGCCGCCGCAGCATCTACAACTTCCCGTTCTTCCTCCGGCACCAGGACGCCGTCGAGACGCCGGACGAGACGGCGTCGCCGCCGCCGGCCAAGCGGTCGTCGGCGCAGTCGCTGCACCCGGCCATGGCCGAGGAGGCGAAGCCGAAGCGGGGCAGCATCATCCGGAGGAAGCGGGTAGGTTCGGTCAAGGCGAGGACGACGGGGGGCGGCGGGGCCGCGGCCGCCCACCGCCCCGACTCGGAGCCGTTAAACAGTGCGGACGTTAGTATTTTAGTGACGGAGGCCTCGCCAGAAGCACCCATCCTTAAGCCGCCTCTGCAAAGACAACAGAGCGAGGCGACGGTGGTTCAAGTGTTAGTTCATAGGGAGAGTGAGGAGTACAATCAGGACGATGACGCGGAGGCGGCGCCTAAGATTGAGGTGACGCCCGGCGACTCGGGGACGGCCGAGGCGGCGGCGGCTGCAGGGCCGGACTGTACGATTAACGTTAACACCACAGATAGCTGATCTGAACTCGCACACACCGAACTATTGCAATAATTTTTAACGTAGGGTTAGGGCGGGGGCGGGACGGACGCCAGCGGGGGCGGGGATCCTGAAACCGGAAAACAACAATCTCCACGCGAGTTTTTTTCTTAATGCAGAGGGTGTTTACTTCGAGCTTGTTTTTTATTTATGAAGATAAATTGCTGTAATCTTCTGATACACTTACGGCGCACATTCCGGAACAAATTACAGAAAATCAAGGAAAATCGAAAGTCGTTTTATATCGGAGAAGATAAATTAAGTTAATGCACTAAATTTTCAGAATTTAGCTAAATTCTCTCTATGCACAAGATAATAATGAGTTTCAAATCAAAAAATAAAAAATTTTCGTCATCACAAATTTCGAAAATTTCTTATGCGGACAATCAATTTGAGGTTCCATCGTGGTCTTCCCTAGGTATGTTTGAGTATGATGAGGGATTCTTTATGACATTAATTGACAAATGAATTTAATTTTAATTATGACCAGGATTAAGATGATGAATTTCCAATTAAAAAATCTAGATTTATTTTCTAGGGAACTGCATACAGGAAATATGGTAAGCTACACAGCGCGATGCAAAAAAAGTCGTCTAGAAACCGTTGAAATTTAATGTTAAAAAATTATGTTGGCAACACTACCGCGTTCCTTGCGGTGCCAACATTATCATTTTAAAAATAAATTTCACGGTCTACTAGACGACTTTTTCGATCATCTAGGTTTTTTTTTTGTCAGATTGGAATCTAGGGTAACGATTTGTTGATGTATAGGAAGGCCAGATTCAGGCATGTGTGGGTGAATGGTGAGTAACGAGGGGTGGGTTTAATTTGTGGTGGTTTGTTTAATGGTGAATTATCCGAGCTCCACGCGACGTCCGCCTAGCCCCCGCAACTTTTTTATTTGAAACAATTAGAAGTTAATTTTTTAAGGTTATTGTAAAAAGAAAATGATAAAGCGAATTAATTCTAATTCAGATGCTTTGGGCATATTGTACATAAAAAGAAAAACCAACAAAAATGCATTTTTGTAGATAGCGCATAAATCGAGTGATTTTGAATTTTTTTGATCAAACAGTTTGTATAGCTAAGAAACTTAATCAATAACTTAACGTACAGGTTATTCTTAAGTCAATTACTTAAACTATGACTATATCTCAACAAGAGACATCGTACAATCAGTAGGAAGAATAGCATCTAGATTAAGGGATAAATAAAAAAATAATTAGCATGATATTTTCGTTGGCGTTATTTTATTAAAACTAGACGAGAGTTGATGTAAATATATGTTGACAATATGATTGTACATTACTCAAAGGCCTACACAAAAAGACTACAGTTTTGTACGCCTTCGCGGCCCCCATCGAACCCCTTTTCTTCTCTCATCACATATCAGCCTGTAGAAACATTCCTTCTGTACATAGCCGTTGGATGGGGGCCGAGAACGCACCAACACATTGTTACGAGATTTAAATAGGGTTAACTGCTACTCTCAGTTGTTTAGTGCACCCAGACCCACCGATTTCAACTCCTCGCACTTTTAGTTGAGACGAAACTTGTTCTTCCTAAAATTCTTCTTTGACGAATTCCAAATTCCGCTTTTGTTCGCTTGACTTGACAAAATTGAGCTAATCAGGGGGCCAGACGTGTGCATTGAAACAGTAGTGTACATACTGACGTAGAGAATAACTAGTCTGTCTTTGCTTGGAAATAAATTATAAATTGTTTACATGAATTCTTCTTCCTTATTACGCAAAGAGGTTTTATTCATTGTGATATTGTGCATCTAGAGGGGTCCCCACGGGAGGACAACTCCTCCCGTTGCGACTTTCATAAATTGTTACAAATTGTATTGTTGCATTTTATGAGGCAGATTTAAATAAAGTTTATTGCCAAAATATTTAATAAATGTATATAATCGCCAAAGTTATGGGGCTGCGTGCTCGGAATTGCGTCCCGGCACGCAGCTTTTGCTGTTTTGTTAGCTATTTATATTGCTAGTGATAACGTTTACCTAGATTGCCTTCATCAGATATTTTAAATATCATTGTTAATTTTAATATAGTAGCGGAAACACTAGAGTAGACTTGTGTACAAATCTTTAAATTGTCAAAGTTATAGCTTTTAAATTAATAAAACCAGATTAATCAAACCCGGCTTTAATTCAACTACTTCGTAGATACACGCGTACGCTTATTCCACGAAAAATTAACCCCATACGACTTAGGTTTGAACGGTTTCTCAAACGAACTCTCCTGGATGTACCACTCCCAACCATTTTTCTCACAATGTCGGATGGCTTCCTCCTTCGAGCTAAACTGAACTTTCATATTGGACAAGGGGTCGCCGCTAAGACACACCTTCATTAACTGCTCGCTAAACACCGCCAAACTCACCTGGAGCACCACCCCATCAACGGGTTCTCCCACCTTTCACGGGTGTCAAAATCCATCTCCCAGTGACCTGTATTGTCAGTGCCACTTTGCATAGCATTCTTAGCTGGTTCATAAATGCGCACCAAGCGCCCCTTCACGTGTTCTTCAGGCTGCCCGGTTATGGGGGCCACGTTGCTCTAAAAACGACACTAAGTGTCTCAAAGTCACAAAACTAGTCTTACTTGAGCATCGACTGTTATGTAACCCTGCAAACGTTTGCGCTGCTCGATTTCCTCAGGGTTCAAAAGGGCCGTGTCGTGAGTGATCTGAGGGGCTTCTTTTTGCTTGACGGCCTTAGACACGTCGTCGCTAAGTCGACTTGATGTTGTTGAAAGACTAGCAATAGACCTAGAAAGTGAGGTTATAAGAACTGAAGTAACGAATAAGAGCAGCACCATTTTAGATTGGGGCACTTTTTGAGTGCCCCCGAACGAAGGAGGAGTGATGCCATAGGCGTACGAGGCTCTTATTCAACAATAAATAATTTACAAGGGACAGTCGTTCTTATGTCAGCTGTCACCTGTCACTCGCAGAGTACCAACCCATTTAATTTTTTTTTTTTATTATTGTAAAATTGGCCTTTTCACATCGCCTAATTTAATAGAAATGTATTTTTAACACCAACCCTAGACTCATATTACGAAAAAGAACTTTAGTAAATTTTTAACACCAATCCGACGATACGCCACTTTTGCTAAAATCAGTGACCCTCAACATAGTCTCAGTTCCAGTGATGCCCAACAATTTTTTTTCGAAATTAATTAAGGAAATAAAAAACCGAAGCGACTTTTAAAATTCCAAGATTTTAATTTTTATTGTTTAAGGACAAAAGCCAGGTCCGTTCGGGGGCTGAGCCGCAATTCCTCTCTTGTTCATCCTGCAAGTGTGCTCCTCCAGCCGTCGCGCTGCATCATTGACATCGGTGACCTCTCGGTCCGACCAAAGTCGCTCAGCTACCGCACTAGCCCTAGGCCAGACTCTCGGGACTATGCTAAATTCGTTGACATATTCGCCCCACATGCACGCTTCGCCCCCCACAACCAAATCTAATTCGGCTTCATCATCGATTAGGGCCACCGGTTCGCACTTGTAGAAGCCATTCCAGTCGCCACCACTCTGCAGATCTGATAGGTACCAACAAGAAGAGTAAACAGCGCGTTTACCGGCTTGGACGACCTACAACAAGATTATGACAATTGCAACTTTGAAAAAAATATTGCATGCATTACGCTGCGTAAAGTGGTGAGACCATTGTTCTTCCAAACGTGAACGACTGTAGAATTTGGTAGAACCACCCCGTTGACGAAAACTTCTTCCCAGACGAGGTACTGCGATTCTAGATTATCTAAAATGTCGACAACGTGTTGGATGTAAAAACTTTCCAGTTCTTTGTAAGTGGCGATGTTGTTTTCTCCCATGAAAGTACCAACGTCGGGGTTATTTTGCCAACAGGTAAAATCTACTTCGTCTCCACCGATGTGGAAGTAATTGTCGGGAAACACATCTACGATTTCTGTGAATAGTTGGGTAACGAAGTCGTACGTAGAGTTTTTCGTGGGGTCCATGGGTCCGAAGTTACCATTGGGTTCGTTGTTGGAGTAGCAAGCGGTCAATAATTCTGGGTGAGAAGCTCCCCAGGAACTGGTGTGACCAGGAGTATCAAACTCTGGGATTACTCGAATTCCACGAAGTCTGGCATACTCAATGACTCGAGCGACGTCACTTTGTTCGTAGATTTTTGAGAACGGATGGTACGCACCTTCATCACTACACACGTAAGTAGTATCTATGTTATTTGACAAAGTTCACCGTTTTTGACTTACCTAAGTTCAGGATAAGTACGACTCTTGTAAGGAAAACTATGATCATCAACTATGTGCCAGTGGAAAACGTTAAATTTATTGTAAGCCATAGCGTCCAACATTGCAAAAATAATAGTAAGTGGTTCGAAGTGACGCGAGGTGTCAATCAACAACCCTCTGTAAGTAAATCGGGGACCATCGGTGATAGTGGTACCATTAATGATGAGCTACGTGAAAGACTTAACACTCCAAATGGAATTATTATAGTGGTACTTACTGAGTCTTGCTCCACATATATCAACTGCGAGAAAGTTTCCAAACCGCGAAGTACCCCCCAAATGGTGGACGCCGAAAGGGTGGCTCCTTGTGCATCAACAACCAAAGTATCTGAAACAACAACATTAAAACTAGACTACCAAATTTTGCTCCTTACAATTTTCGGAATCCCCTTCCTTGGGATAAATGTCTTCGCTTTCGCACCCTGCTTCTAGATCTATGTTCAAAGTTTGTAAAGTTCCCAAAAAATTTCCATCCGCTTGAAACCGCGTCCACGAATTTTGCGAAACCTTTGAACCAGCCGTCGCTATAATCGTCCAGTACCTCGTCAAAGCATCGTTGAGGAAATTCGGGCAGCCGACGTTGTCAGGTACCTAGAATCCTCACTATATCCGGTACCACCTAACTTTTCTATTACCTTAAAATTAAAACCATGTGGTAGTATCGTATAGTAGTCTTGGGTTTTTTCCTCGGCTTGTGGTTTTGGCCATACCGCCCCCTTGGTCGCCAACACAGCAGGACCTAGAGCTAGGGCACACCCCACCAAAAACGAAAAAAGAATAATTGACTTAAGCATGGTTGTAACTGTATGGTTAATCAGTACGGATCTCCATTTATAAGAGCAGATCTTCGAATCTAATCTGATCTTGAACCTGTCTAAGTCATTTGGTAGCTGGTGACCTTTGTTAAGAAGACACATAAGTACGGAAACAAAAACAAAAATCTCAAGGTGTTATCAGAGATAATCAATTATTCGGCACTATTACATACCACTTATCTTTTATCAGGTACTTATCTAGTCGGTACTTCAAAAACGTTTCGCAATTTTGCAAAATATGTTAAAATTTATTTTGGTTTGTGTTTTGTTTTTCGCAAAAATCGCGTGTTTCGAATTTATTTTTAAGCCCGGACCTTTAATACCTGCTTCTAGGGGAGAAGTGTGGCCCAAACCTCAACACCAGGACGCTCTAGATGATGGATTCTTCACACTATTGCCGTCGTTCTTTCAGTTTAATGTGAGTGCAAGTTTTGTGTTTACATTTCATAGTAGACGAATTTCAGTCAGTCGGTACCACCTGTACTATTTTGAACGAAGCCCTACTTAGATACAGGAACCTAATTCTTTTTAACAGTCGACGCATTAAAGAAATTTACTTCAAAGTACGAACGTGTTACGAGAGTTCTGATTCTAACTTCTTGGGTTACTTGACTAGTTTTGAAATTGACTTAACCGGTCCGTGCTCTGACGAAGAATTGCCGTCTCTCGAGATGATCGAAGAATGTAGGTGACCACTGTAACTCACTCTGATTAACGTTTGTGTAGATGAATTGACACTCAGTTCTAGTACCCGAAAACTATCATCTAGTACCATCTGGGGTATACTTCGAGGTCTTGAAACCTTCTCTCAACTCATCTACTTAACAGAAGACCACAGTTGTGTAAGTTTTAGTACCGTGTAAGACTTGAATAACCACGAAACAGCACAGAGTTGAAAGTACACACATCCACGACTATCCCAGATTTGCCCATCGTGGTCTTCTTTTGGACACCTCTAGGCACTATCACAGCAAAGACAACATTTTCAAACTTCTAGATGCAATGTCGTACCACAAGCTCAACGTGTTTCATTGGCACATCACCGACGACTATAGTTTTCCTTACGTGAGCAAGACTTTCCCGCAGTTAAGGTACGTATAGACCCAGTGGTACTTTTCTTCTAGTAGTGTTTATAGCGAAAAAGGCGCATTTCATCCCACTCTTTGGGTCTACGACCAAAATTTTGTCAAAGAGGTACAAAAGTACGCACAAAGAAGAGGAATTCGGGTAATGGTAGAATTTGACACTCCTGGACACACTCTGTCTTGGGGTTTAGGTCAACCGGATTTACTCACGGCTTGTTATGACGTACCACAACTAGAATGGGGACCCATTAATCCCACCAGAAACTCTACTTACGCTTTCATGTTTAAGTTACTCGATGAGATTAAGAGTGTGTTTAAGGATAAATACACCCATCTTGGAGGTGACGAAGTTGATTTTTCTTGTTGGTACTTACATAAGTTCTAGTAGTTGACGGTGATTTCACTATACGTTTTATAGGAAAAGTAATCCCGAGGTTAATCAGTTTATGGTTGAAAATGGCATAGAAGGCGACTATGTGGCTCTTCAGAGTTACTACATCCAAAAAATCATCAACTATGTTGATTCTTTAAATATGAGTACTGTGGTGTGGGAGGAAGTCTTCACCAATGGTGTTACGTTACCCAAAAGCACAGTGGTTCACGTCTGGATAAGCACCAACCCAAAAACTACTCTAAACCAAGTGACGGAAGCCGGTCATCCAGCTATTCTATCCTCGTACTGGTACCTAGACCAGTTGAACACAGGTGGCGACTGGTTGAAGTTCTACAACGCTGACCCGCACGATTTTCCAGGAACCGACGAACAAAAAAGTTTAGTCATAGGAGGTGAAGCTTGTATGTGGTCGGAAGTGGTCGACGACAACAATCTAGAATCTAGAATTTGGCCCAGAGCTAGCGTCGCGGCCGAAAAATTTTGGTCACCCCCTGACTCCATCAAGACTGAGATGGAAGAATTGTGGCCTATCGCCAGCAGGTTACAAGAGCAGACGTGCAGAATGAACTGAAGAGGGATAAAGGCCCAACCACCTACAGGTCCGAGTGTATGCTTTTAAATAAAAAACATCTTTCTGTTTAAAATTTATTGTTTAAACACAAAACCCAGGTCCGTTGGGGGGTTGTCCTTCAATTCCACGCTTGTTCATCCTACAGGCATGCTCCTCTAGTCTTCTTTTAGCGTCTTCGACGTCTGTGACGTCCGCAGGTGACCAAAGTCGTTCGGCGACGGCACTGGCAGCAGGCCAAACTTCTGGAATTATGTTGAACTGATTGACGTACTCGCCCCACATGCAAGCTTCACCGCCCAGAACTAGGTCTCTTTGATTTTGGTCTTCTATTAAGGCTAAAGGGTCGCAGTCGTAGAAGGAAGTCCAGTCTGCACCAAAATACAGCGAGGCGAAGTACCAGCAAGAGGAATACACACCGAATTTGCCCGCGGCAACTACCTAGAATCTCGATTTGTTGACAAGGTAGTACCGATGAGGAAATTTTACGTCTCTTAAGGTGCTTAAACCGTTGTCTCGCCAAACTTGGACGACGCTAGAGTTGGGTAGTTGTACCCCGTTGACAAAAACTTCTTCCCACACGAGGTGGTTGGAGTTGGAAGTACCTAAAATATCGATCACTTTTTGGATGAAGTAGGTTTCTAGATCTACATAGGTGGCGATGTGGTTTTGGTCCATGAAGGTGGATATGTCGGGATTGCTTTCCCTAAACACTATGAAGTGACAAAGAAGCGTATACTAACTAAGACTATACTAACCAACAACCAGAAGCTACTTCATCTCCTCCAATGTGGAAGTACGAGTCCGGAAATACGTCCGAGATTTCTTGGAATAGTTTGGCTATAAAATCATACGTGGTGTTTTTAGTGGGGTCCATAGGTCCCAATTCTCCACTGGGTTCGTTGTTTTCATAGCAAGTAGTGAGTAATTCTGGATGGGAGACGCCCCAAGATCTTGTATGACCAGGGGTGTCGAATTCCGGTATGACACGAATACCTCGCAGTCGAGCGTACTCGATAACTAGACGAATGTCGTCTTGGTCGTAGATTAACTCAGTCGGGTGGTACGCACCTTGTTCACTAAAAACGACTTACAAACGTGTTGTATTTAAACCGAAGTGTATACCTTAGTTCTGGAAAGGTGGTACTCCGGTATGGAAAACTGTGGTCATCTGTCATATGCCAATGCAGAACGTTGAATTTGTTGTACGCCATAGCATCCAACATTTGTTGAAGGATGGACACGGGTTGGAAATGTCGGGAAGTGTCAATTAGAATACCTCTGTGATGAAAACTGGGATAGTCTTCGATGAAAGTGGTACCAATGATCAACTAATTAGACAATTTGATTAGGAAATCTGTTTTTTAAAAAAAGTACTTACGCTATCGTCTTCCAAATGAATCAACTGCGAAAAAGTTTCTAGACCTCGCAGTACCCCCCAAATCGACAATGTGTATAAGTAGGCACCATCCTCGTCAACACTCAGTGAATCTGGAACTTCAATTTCGCAAAAGTACCACCACATGGGTGTTACTTACAATCCTCATATTCTCTTAAACCTGGAACAATGTCTTCACCGGAACACTCATTTTCGATATTTACGGTCATGCTTTCCAAATATCCGAGGAAATTCTCATCACTGATTTCCTTCTTTTCGGGTACGACCTTCTCCCAGACACCTTTCTTCAGTTTTAAAGCAATGGTACTGTTTATAATCTTCACGTATCTATCAAAGGCATCATTTACGAACTTTGGGCAACCTATTTCTTTAAGTAGCTACAAATACATGGTGTATTATCTAAAGACTTGCCAGAAAACTTACCTCAAAATTGAAAGCCCTTATAGGGTCGATTAAATAGTACTTGCCGTATTTTTCCTGCCTTAGGGGCTTAGGCCACACCTCTCCTTTGGAGGGTTGAATATCAGGACCAGGATTTATCCCGTACACAAAAATGAACGTATTTAGTAGAATGTACAACCTCCACATCGTGTAGTACACGTTACGATAGTTGCACAAATGATACTATGATTGTGCAGTAAAAAAAGTAAACAAAATTCTGAGATAACATTTTGCTATAAAGCAGATAAATAGTTTAGTCGTGCACTGAAAAAAGGTGCGTAAATTTTGAATTGAGTAGTTCTTTGAAAATATATGAAAATTGGAAGAAGTACCTATTTCACAAAGGTGCAGGATTTAGTTAAAGAGTTTTCTAATCTACTATAAAAGATCAAATATATTTGTACCTCTAGGGCAAAGAACACCAGAAACGTAAGTCCTTCTCTAGTACCCAATTGTCCATTTCCCCAGAAAATGATTGTTCACTACAAAACAATCAACTTTAAAGTCAAAGTTTCAACGGTACTCTCCATTCGAGTGTTTGTTCAAAATACTCTAAACCTTTCCGTCGAGAACAATAACCATAACAATAACGGAGATAACAAAAAGTACGACCTAATTTTTTTGAGGAACGATTGCTTTATTTTCGCGTATCACAAGGACTTCACATGCTGTCAGTGTCCGATTTGTGTTCCTCAACAGCTGATTAGTATCTCCTCTTTCCATATCGACCGATCTCAATCTCCTCGCTCTTGAATATAAATACTACTGCTGCCTGCATCCCTGCGCTAGTACGTGATAACCCGTAATCATGTTCAAACTATTAATAGCTTTATCCGCACTCGTCGTTATCTCCAGCGCTTACGGTCCAGCCGTGAGAGCCACAAAAGGACAAGTATGGCCGAAACCCCAACAGGAAGAAAAAACTTCGGACTACTTTATAGTACGACCACACACCTTCAGTTTCCAGGTACTAACCCACCAAGAAGTGTCAAATGTCAAGTGTCAGATTATAGGGTCCCGCAGACATCGGCTGTCCGAGTTTACTCGATGATGCTTTCACTAGATACTGGTCGATTATTGCTACCTCGGCCTCTCTGGAACGACGAGGACGACTGGCAGAAATGGGAAAAAAACACACGAAGTTCTGGCAGCTAGACGAAAGCTTCTTGGGGAATTTGGAAAGTTTGAAGGTGGAAGTGAGCGACGAGTGTACAGATGACGCTCTCCCCGACTTCGGGGACAACGAAAATTGTAAGTACTTTGAAGTTGTGTATTAGTACTGATGGTGGTTTGTAGATACACTGACCGTGAACGCCGATGGGGCCACCCTTTCTGCACAAACCATCTGGGGGGCGCTGCGAGGCTTGGAAACCTTCTCACAACTTATCTACTTGGAGCAAGACGCCGTAAGTACCCCCACGTGTAAAATAGTACCGCTGCAGCACGTGAATTTTAGCTCGTCATAAACGCCACTACCATCACAGATTTTCCCCGATTTTCGTTCAGGGGGCTGCACTTAGACACCAGTAGGCATTTTCTTCCGGTGTATATCATCCTACAGACTTTGGATGGAATGGCTTATAATAAATTCAACGTCTTCCACTGGCATCTCACTGATGACCAGAGTTTCCCGTACAAGAGTCGCGTATATCCAGAGTTGAGGTAAACAAGGTTGAATTTTTTTGGGTGTGTGTTAATTGGTGACCTTAGTGAAAAAGGTGCGTACCACCCGGTGTCAAAAGTGTTCGAACCAAGCGACGTAGCTAGAGTTATTGAGTACGCTCGAGTCCGCGGGATTAGAGTCATCCCTGAATTCGACACCCCTGGACACACGAGCTCGTGGGGTGCAGCCCACCCCGAGCTACTAACAACTTGCTACTCCAACAACCAACCCAATGGTTACCTCGGTCCCATGGATCCCAGCAAAGACACAACCTACGACTTCATCAACAACCTCTTCACAGAAGTCGTGGGGGTATTCCCGGACTCGTACTTCCACATCGGTGGCGATGAAGTCGACTTCTCGTGCTGGTACCACCACACTACTAAAACTAACCCTCTTTTCACACTTCACATTCCAGGCAAAGCAACCCCGACATCACCACTTTCATGAGCGACAACAACATCAGCTCGTACGAAGGCTTGGAAAACTACTTCATCCAGCACGTCGTCGACCTCCTCGACAAGCTAAATTCCAAATACCTCGTCTGGGAGGAAGTTTTCGTCAACGGAGTCACTCTCCCGAACACCACCCTCGTCCACGTGTGGCGAGGCGGAGGCTTCGACACCCTCAGAGACGTACCACTAGTACTCATTCAAAGCCCGATCTAACTTGTACCATTTTAGGTGACTAAAGCCGGCAAGTACGGTGTCTTCTCTTCCTGCTGGTACTTAGACCACTTGTCCAGCGGCGGCGACTGGCAAAAGTTCTACGAGTGCGAACCTCTAAACTTCGATGGTACCGATGAACAAAAGAAGCTGGTTTTGGGTGGGGCAGCCTGCATGTGGACGGAATCGGTGAACGAGTACAATGTGATGCCTCGAGTGTGGCCTCGGGCGTGCGCAACAGCCGAGAAACTTTGGTCTGCGGAAAGTGTTAATGATTTTGGGGCTGCTCAACCGAGGCTGGAGGAACACGCTTGTAGGATGAACATGAGGGGGATTGCGGCGCAGCCACCCAACGGACCTGGAGTCTGTTTGTAAATGTAGCAATGAATAAAAAATAGCATATTTGAGGTTTTTTAATGAGTTACTGATAAAGTTCGGTCGTTAATGAGCGTTAGTACTCGTTTGAAACACCTAAAGAGTAGTTGGTGTCACGATGTTAGTTATTTTCGTTTTTGGTTTCTTGGTTTCTTTAACTGTGGACAAGGTTTCTGGAGTTAAAGAGGATTACTATTGGAGGGACTACGATGGTACTATTCCTGACGATGCTGTAGTCGGGGGTCAATCTTTCGGTCACGACATCTTCATAGGTCAGGCTTACATTCGAGACGAGGGGGTTTTTCCAGTAACGATCAATCCCGGGGTGATAGAGGTAGCTGTGCCCATTAAAGGCGTGAAAAGGACAGATAAGTACGTCAAGGTGAGTACCAAGTCGTACCAATTTAGACGTGCTTAAAAACGTGTAATTTTAGATCTTGTGTGGACCACCGGCGAATTTCGAATGGGTTCCTGCTAATGTTACCAATCTGCACGTTGTATTACTGAACAAACATGCGGTTTTTGGAGGACATGAAGACAGTAAGGGATATGTTTACATAGGAAAGAGTACCACGAAAGGTGGTACCCAGATTGGGAAAATCAATGCTTTCGCTCTAGGAAACGCCAAATTTTTCTATGCTAGTAAAGATTCAGAGAACAACTTGAGTGTATACGATGTACTGTGTTACCCCGATTTTGGGCAAAAACTTGATATAAGGGAAACGCTTATACCTGAGATGACTCCAAAGGATCAACAAAATATTTAAACCGGTACTCGACTGTTGGGTTTTTTCTGCTAATTATTAACGTTTGACCTTACTATAATCAACCTATAAAAACAAAATTATTGACTTTTAAGAACTTGAAATAAAGACAATTAAAAAAGCATTACTTGATGACTTACCAGTACCACTTCCACAAAATTCGTTTAGTCTCGTTGCAGCTCTACGATGATTCGTTTTAAGCTTCTTCTCGCAACAACACTTTTCTTGTCTTATATTTGTTGTACTTGTGGTTACCGATATTTCTATTGGAGAGAATACACGGGTACTATCCCTTCGGATGCTATCGTTGCAGGACGAGACATTAGCGGCAAAGATCTCTACATCGGTCAAGCATATGTTAAAAACGGAGGCTGGCAAGTAGTACCCATTTATCAAGGAATCAAAGAGGCAATAGCGGTACTGAACGGACCCAAGAAAACCGACAAATACATCAAAGTAAGTACCGTTCGATAGAAATCTTTCATTAAAACACAGTTTGTAGATTCTATGTGGTGAACAAAATCATCTTCGTTGGGTTGTAACTACCGCCAAGGATTTTCACGAGGATATGGAAGACAAAGTTGGGGTGATTGGGGGACACGAAGATGGCTGGGGGGAGACCCATATTGGAAGAATAAGTTACGAAGGGGAGACGAGAATTGGAAAAGTCAATTCCTTCAGAACTGGGAAAGCGAATTTTTATTTCCATGATAGAGGAACGGAACGCGATATTGGGGATAATTATCTTTTTGAAGTTTTGTATTATAACGATGACTATGTAATAGAACCACGCAGTTTGCACTAGGGGGTTAGAACATTTTGTAGGGTGGTACCACTGTAATATACTGATTCAGCAAAATATACCAAATTTTTATTTTTTCTGTTTGATTCAAAGGTTGCTATTATTATGTTCATGTTATTGTGATGTGGAATTTTGCTGTCCCAGTCTCCATCTGGATTACCCACATAGAATAAAGAAACAAATAAAAAGGTTTATCAACAAGGTTAAATGAAGTCAGCTATTAAACGCGATGATAATAAATACAAATTGGAAGAATTTACTGTGACTACGGGGTGTGTATTGGAAAAGTTCTCGAAAAGGCATGGCTTGACAAGACTATATTTCTTGGTGTCGATAGAAATGGACGTGAACTGCGGGCCGAGTCTTACGAGTTCTTGTAAGTGGGATTTATGTACCCAAATAAATAAAAAAATAAATAAATAAATGAGTTAACGTAATTTCTGTGTATTCTTTGTGCACGCGATTAATAATTTTCTTGCGGCTTGAATTTGAACATTTATTCTCGAATACCTCGAGCGTTTCCCGAAACCGCGTTTTGTGAATTTTATTAACATTTGGTAACAAGATAAGAGGAACGAAGTTATAATCAATGCAATAGTGCAAGTTGATATAACAATTTCCCGCTTTTTGAGAAATTGCTATAAAAATACAATAATCACCAACTCTAACTTTTCTTGTGTCCAATTATCTCCTCATGAGATAACTAGAGCTTTTCGAAATAACACTAATTGCTCTGAATTATGTTCTCTTTATTTCACTATAACGTAGGTACATTAACTTGCTCCAATGAGCACTTCTGCAGAACTAGTCACCTCTCATGACTCTTAACTATCGAAGTACTCACTTTTACATTAACTTGCTCTATTGAGCACTTCTGCAAACTAGTCACCTCTCATGACTCTTTTCTCTCGAAGTACTAACTTTTCTTAAACTGACTTAGAATTATAAAGATTCGCATTCTCCCTCTCAATCATACAAAGTCCCAATCATATTCAAAATATTCATTCGACAGTTGATCCTACAACCAATCTCATTTAAACTTTTAAAAATCTTAACCGATATTGTCAAATCCGTTGTAGAACCGTCGTTTCCCAATTCGCTCTGGTCATAATTATGCACTAATTGTAGAAAAGTTCGTTTGTAATGATTTCATTGCTTTCAACGGTTTTAACGAACTCTCCCAGAAATATCCTAATGAAAAATATTATAACATTACTTTCAACGGTTTTAACGAACTCTTCCAAAAATATCCTAATCAAAAATATTATAACACCCATATTATTTAAGGGGGAACGCTAGACGAGAGACAAGTTTGAATTGGGCGCCATTTGTTGCCTTAAACGCAACCAGCAATTCTTCTTAAAATCTACCTGACGCGCTGAGATAGACGACTACCGGACGTGCGTCATAAAAGTATCGTAAGCCGATAATGCAGAATAATGATAATTTATGACAGGCGGCCCACAACATACCTTCAGCACAGAATAATCATTTCTCGTATTCTTTTGACATATTAATTTTAATATTCGAGAAAATTATTATACCTACTTATTATTCAAACACAATTTAGACACTGTAGAGCAAACAAGGCTTATCAAGCCCGTCTATTAGTTTCTTCGCCTAAATGTATTATTAATACCGTTTTCAAATTACACCAAAATTGAAAAATCGAAAACTTAATAATTGAAAAATTGAAACATTTTAAATGAAAAAAATTGAAAAATTTATAAATCGAGAAATTGAACAATCTAAAAATTAAACAATTTAAAAATCGAAACATCAAGGAAAACAAAAAATTAACGGAACATCTAGAACTTAAAAATTGAAAAATTAAAATACCTATCGAAAAATTGAAAAACTGAGAAATCGAAACATCAAAAAATGGAAAAATTGAAGAACCGAAACATTGCAAAATCTCAGAACTGAAACACTGAAAAACTGAAAAATGCAAGGAAAATTGAAAAATCGAAAAAGTGAAAAAATTCAAAACTGAAACATTGAAAAATCCAGAAATCGTAAAATTGAAAAATCACAACTGAAGAAAGAATTGAAAAATCAAGAAATAGAGAAATGGGAAAATCGAAAAATTTAGAAACGTCAAAAATTAAAAACTGAAAAATAAAAAAAAATTAAAATCGTAAAACTGAAATATCGTGAAGTTAATAAACTGAAAAACTGAAAATTTTTGAAAAAAAAAAAATCGTATCAAAAAATAAAAATTCAAAAAATCGAGAAATTGAACAATCAAAAAATCAAAACATTGAAATCCCAGTAAGTTGATAAATAGGAAAATTTAAAAAACAAAAATTTTAAAAATCCAAGAATTGAACAACAAAAAAAATCTAAGCCTGAAAACTCAGAAAATTGAATGGTCGAGAACAAAAAATCTAAAATTTAAAAATTCGACAAATTGAAAAATCATGGAACTGAAAAATCGAAAACTCGAGATAGTGAGAAATCTAAAAGCCTAAAACATTAAAAACTGAAAAATTAAAATATCGAAACATTTAAAAACCGAGAAAACACAATATCAAAAATTTGAAAAATTGAAGAAACGAAATATTGCAAAATTCCAAAGCTGAAATATTGAAAAACCTAAAAATGGAAGGAAAATTAAAGTATCGAAACGGTGAAAAAATCCCAAACTGAAAAATTGAGAAATGGAAAAATGGGAAAATCAAAAAAATTGGTCTAAAGAGTTTAGACAGTACTTCCCTCGCTATCGGAAAGGTGACGACTGCATGCCTATTATGTTTTTTTTTCACATTAGATTTCAAAGCATTCGGTTTTGTAGTTCCTGTTTAAATCAATAAAATAAATTTGCGCATTCATTAAATTTTTTGAGTCACTCTGTATATCCGAATCCAAAAAATATGAATGGAATGATAAATTACAAGAAGAGACTCATCATATTTTGTAAATTTTAAATAGGATTATACGGCAAACTTTTGAGCTGACGTCATAAATTTTTTGGAGGGGATAAGCAAATATATTTGGACTAAAAATGTATTATGCTTTTTATAACCTTAAAACATTTGCAAGATTTCAAAGCATTGGGTTCTGTAGTTCCTGATTAAATCAATAAAATAAATTTACGCATTCATTAATTTTTGGGGTCATCCTGTATATGCAAATCCAAAAAACATGAATGGAATGATAAATCACAAGAAGAGACTCATCATATTTTATACAATTTAGATAGGATTTATTCAGCAAAATTTTGAGGTGACGTCATCAATTTTTTAGAGGGGATAAGTAAATATATTGTGATTAAAACGGTCCTAGTTTAATAACAAAAAAATATTGTTCGTCTATAAAACAAGCTCGTCTTAGACAAAGTATTCGTAAAAAAATATGTCCTAAAAAAATTTACGTATGCTGGTCCCGACTGCGATTATAGTTTAAATATTTTTTAGAAAATCCTGTCATGGATGTAGAAACATTTGTGACAGCCAAAGAGGTTTTTTTGAGAAAATTATCTTTGAATTTAGACCAAATTTAAATAGACACTAGGCAACAGGCACATTTGGGCAAAAGAAAGAGAAATTAGGGTTACGGCTTCAAATTTTTGACGTATTTACAAACTTAGACCAACTACAGCAATAGCTAAAACTGTGGAGTCTCTGTTGTACAGTACATTTAGAGGTAACAGTTATACATACTATGGACAGCAAAGTGAGGAAAAAGCTGTCAAGTGTTTTGAAATAAATAAAAATATAAAAACTGAACGGTGTGGCTTGTTTATTTCAAAACAATTTCCTTACTTGGCTGCTAATCCAGACAGGGTTCTAGAGGATAGGAGTGCATTAGTCGAAATTAAATGCCCTTCAAAATCGCAAGATTTGTCTACCGAAGAAGCGGTTAGAAAAAAAAATCAAATTTTGTACATTGACAGACAGAGAATTGAAACTAAAAAAAAATCATGATTACTACTTTCAAGTCCAGGGACAAATGCTTGTTACGGGTATTTCACAAGTTTATTTTGTTGTATGGACACCCAATGGAATAAATATAGAAAAAATTTATAAAGACGAAGAAATATATGTAAAAAGATGGCAGATAAACTTGGCAGATTTTGCTTTGGCGCATTATTGCCCGAAATAATTGATTCAAGAAGAAAGAGGAACCTGCCTTTGCGAGAGATTTTTTTAATATAAATAAAATTTGTTTCTATTTTTTTATATACTTTAATAATTTATTAGGAGTACATTTTTCATCACCAAGACCTGCATATTATTATTATAAATATATTTTGAAAATGATCTCTCGGCAAATGAAAACATATAGGAGCACTTTTTTCGAGTAAACAATGAAGGGAGAAGTTACTGGGCGTAGGGCTTTTTTAAAACACCTCTTTCTGGGATAAGTAGTAGATACACTTAGCTACTTATACGCAGTGGCGTAACAATCAAACTGCGGGCCCGTGTTCTACAACACTGTGGGGCCCCTAATGAACAGCGAAATAAAAATATTTAAAAATACGAGTATAATGAGTAAAGAATGAGTAGATTGCAATTAGCGCTAACGTTTTATTAAAATCATTCTACCTGAAACATTGAATTAAAAAAATAAAAACAATAATTACCTGAAGACATATAATTAAAATATATACAATATTGGATACTAGCCGACCCGCCAAACGTTGTTTTGGCATTTCTAGTGAATATTTTGGTACATAGTTAAATAAAAAATTAAATTAATAATAATAATAATAATAATGTCTTTATTGCCCAACAGTGTAAAATACACCAATTACAGGTACAACTTAAAAGAACAATTGTATGTAAAAAAAAAGAACTAAATAAAAAGAAAAATAAACTACGAAACGATAGATAGATTAGTGGCTAAACTAATACTAAATTAATACAAAAATTAATGAATACTACTAAATATTACCTACTTTTTCAAAAAAAAAAATCTTTCAACACATTTTTTAAACGTTGAATATCTCAAATGAAATATGTCAATATCATTACAAACTTCATTATATAAAGATGACATCAGATATAGCGGCGATCTAACAATCATATTTGTCCTGGGGATATTGTAGGTGAAAGTTGAATGATGTCTGGCATATATTCGTGGGACCAAAAAGTTCAGTTTTTCAAGCATTTGAGGTATATCCAATTGGGAGTGAAGTAATTTATATAATAGAAGTAGAACATTAGTTTGACGCTTTACTAAAACAGGGATAAACTTAAATTCATCTAGGAGAAGATCGTGGTTATATCCTCTGGGGGGATAAACTTTATGAGATTTTAAGAA